CAACAGTGCCAATTAACATTATTGTGTTGAACAGTTAACATACAATTATTGGTATATATTCCACATATACAATATCAAAAGTGCTCTGTGCTTCTCCTTTGTACAAGGATGTGACAACTGATTTGGATTTGATATGGATTAAAAGTTGCAGAAATCTTGACAAAACAGAAAAAACTCAAATATGTGCATGAAATATTTCCTTGGAAAATTTCTAGAATTTTTAAGATTTAAGTAGATATCTAAAAATTCGACAAGCGATTTTCAGCTGAATTTAAAACTAAATACAATTTTGTAATATTTGACAAAAACCCCGCATATTAAAGAGATACCGACCATTTGGATCTCCAAAGTCTTTATTAATTGATTTTTGATTGATTTCAAAATCAAGTTTGTGTGCCAAGTCTTTTGTTTTTTTACGCACAAGTTCGTTGGCCCAACTAAAAATTCTTTTGGCAATTTCGACTTTACAGTCAAAGTTCATTGACTCCGCCTATTGTAAGCTTGAAACTATAACTGTTTAAAGCCTTTACTTAAGTACTCATATCATAAAGCACTTACAGATATATAGGTTAATATGTTTGAAGAGCAAATTTGCTTAGACAAAAACTGTAAATCATGGTGTAGTATGTTGTAAAATTTGAAGCCCGAGCGCTTTTGCGCAACCTGCAACATAAAACTTCCAACACACCAAAAATGTACATGCATAAATTATAGACAAATACGAGAAAAAATGTGTTGCCGACTTGGCATGCATATTATTTGGCCAGCAGTCATAAAAGGGCGCATACCAATACAAATATTTAAATGTATCTACATATACATATAGATTATTAAATGCAACATCAGTTTGTCGGCTGATTGATATTGATTAAAATGCATGAGCCCACGAAGAAAAAACACAAAAAAAATACAAAAAGCCAACAAATTACAAAACGCAACTTAAAAAAAAAAAACACACACACACACAGGGAAATACTCGCAGAGATATTGAAATGCAAGTTTCCAAACTGCATTCATTAGGGCCTGGCGGGCGTGTGTTTTTTATTTGAACTTTTCACTACCAAAAAAAAAAAACACTCGAAAAAATCGTGTTGGATGTCAAATCCATAATCGATCGCGCAACATTTGAAAACATATCAAATTTTCATTATGCACAAAATTGGTTTTCAATTTCCAAATGTCGACGAATGATAAGCCCTGCGGCAGCTGCTGTGACCATTAGGCGAACCATTAATGATTCATGTTGCAAAATCTCTAGCAAACGCGGGGGGTCAGCAGCTCATGAATACCCCTAATGATAAAGATCGCCGCCACACACACACACACACAGGCAATAAAATCAAATTAAAATGCAAAATTTCAAATGTTTGTCGCTTGTCGAACTGGCCCCCGACAGGCATTGAGCTTTGATTGATGGCATTGCATAAGGAAGCAGCCGCGACAGTGGGTGCGCTCTAATCTATATGCAAAAGACGTGGAAGGTTCTAGCCAGCGTCACAAAAATGCTAAAATCAAAAACAAAAGTAAAAAAAAAAAAAACAACCCAATACAAAAGTCAATAAAACCAGTTAAGGTCAGGCGCGCGGACGCTGCTGGCCAGTGCTGCCAATTGCCGCTTCGAAAAAGTAGCTAAGTCCGCTGTTAAATAAAAGGCTAAGCTGTTATTGAGCTGCCAGAAAATAGCTAAATCTGTTTTAGATTTCAACTAATTGTGGCTGACTGCCACTGAATGTAGCCACATTTAGCTAGAAAATGGCTGAATTGGCAACACTGCTGCTGGCCCGGCTAGCCATTGGGCTTAGCTCTGGCTTGTGTAATCAACATGTTTGCAGCAGATGCTAAATGAATTTATATTTATGAATAATGTGACGATGGCAAAGTTGCCGCTGCTGATGCTGATCACGTTGCCGATGCTAAGCTACAATAAAAATAAAGTTTCAAGTGTCGCCGTCGCCGTCGTCGCCGTCACTGAGGCAGTGTGTCAGTGGCCGCTGCTGCGACGCGAAACGCCTCGGGCAACCGGTTGGTTGGCACCAATGCATCCTTGACATAAAAACCATGCGCACCGAGTTACATCTTCGATAAGCCAATACACACACACACACACACACACACACGCACGCACACACATGTACAGCGGCACGCAATCAAAACAAATTTAAACAACATTCCGCACACGCACTACTACAGCTTGTAATCTTTGCAAATTTCCCCACTTACATATATTCATCATTTTCTTCTTCTTCTTCTTCTTTTCATTGCAGATGAAAGTCACTTTGGCGTTAGCGACTTTCTGCCTGGTGGCTGCCTGCGCCAATGCGCAGAAGGGCAGAACCACAACAACCACAGGCACCAAGCCGGGTCGTTTCCTCTCACTGCCCGTGCCCGCCAAGTGCGCTAGCCGTAAGTATTTCATACATACAAGAAATATATATATATATATATGTATGTACATACATATATTGCTGCAACTGTGGCAAAAAGTAAAAGTGTGAAACGTTAGAAGAATATCAAATAGCACACATCCAGCTTAGTTGCCAAGTTTGCACTTGAAATTGTTTAGCAATGCGACGTGTGGGTGTGTTACGAACAGCCACAACAATTACAATATATATTTAATTGTGTTAGGTCGGGGGCAGCCACGGGGCTGGGTGGGCGCCTGAAGGTCGCTGACGTGATCGAATTTGTTTTGGATTGCATTTTGTCACCCACGCACTTTCTTTAACTTTGCTTATAAGACGTTGTGTATTCGGATTGGTCACAAGCTGCAGCGTTGCCACCCCGCTGCCAAGCACAATTATAAGACACACTGACACACACACACATAAATCCTGCAAGTCACCGCTTGCAGCTGTATTCAAACAAAATGCACAGCAGAGGATTGCGAAAATGCAGCTGATAGATTTAAGATGCAAACAATAGCGTCATCGCTGCACATCCGGTACACTAATGAACACAGTTAGCAGTTGGCACTAATTAGGCAGCACACATGCACATGCATATACAACATCGAAAAGCATACATTTGTGTGCATCCCGTTTAAAACTGAAAATGCAACTTAACGTTTTCATTTTTTTTTTTTTTTGGGCAACAACGTCATCGCGTCGCAACGTGACGGCCCATAAAGTTGCATAGCCAGTTTGGTGGCGCTGCTGTGGCTTAGATCTTTCATCTTTTTAGAAATTTCCAGTTATACAAGCAAGCACAACTTTAAAGTTAAATAAACTAATTAACTATTCAAACTTAATTACCTGGTATAGACAACGTCGTCGACGGCGTCGCTGCTCGTTAATAACAACTCTCAAGCATGCAAACTGTGCGCTTGCTTATTTAATTTACATTTAAAAACGGATTTTCTAAGCCCGAACCGCAAGCCGAGATTAAGATTCTGTTTCGATATATGTATGTGTGCACAGTTCAATGTATACTTGGGGAAGTTGTTTGGCAATGATGCAATTGGGAATTTTATTTATATTTTCGAACTGTATGCAGGAAAACGCAGCGAAAGAAAGTGAGGTTAATGCGCGCCAATGTGACGCGTTGCTTTTATTGCCTTGACCCGCAAAGTGAGGAAATTGCAGCAGTCTGGCAGCATCGGCAGCAACAATAATAATAATAATGTGCAAACAATGGCAAATAAGGTCATTATGTTAGAGTTAAGCTGATTTGACGTGAAGTGAGACGGCGGCGGGCGAATGAACAGGCAAAAGGCAATTGCAAAATTGACGGCAGCGACTGCGATGGCAGCTTTAAAGCCGCTTAAAGCGCGCCTAATGACGCGTGCCGCCAGCAGCAGCAGCGGCAGTGGTAACAAGAGGCGTGGCACAGTCTGTTCGCGCTAAAAAAACAGAAAAGCTAAAAAGCCAACGCAGCAGTAGCTAATCAAATGGACGCTGCTGCGCTGCAGTAGCCGCAACGGTGGCAGCTCAGAGAGGCAGCGATGTGAAACAAGTTTCGTTTGTTTGCCGAGGAGGCGCAGTAGGAGGAGGAGCAGGTGGTGGAGATACTGTTAGCGTAGGGGGACGGTCGGTGGGGGGGGGTGAGATTCCATTGTTGGCTTAACCAATTTTTTGTTTGGCAAATGGAAAACCTTTTGACACACAGACAAAGGAAAGCGGGCAGACGGCGAGGCGACGATGACGGCATCAAACGGAGGAGCAGCATTAGCAGCAGTATGCTGCATAAATTGCTGGCACAGATTGCGCAACTAACAGTGGGGGAAGTTGTGTAAGCATCCGTGGCATGTTTTGCCCATTATGCGGCATACACTCTGGCATCGCATTGAACTCGAGGGCGGCCGGCCACACCCCCTGTACTATAACGAACTGAACTAATTTGCTCATAATTTGTGCTCGTCTTGCAGGCCCCAAGGAGTTCTCCTATCGCGGCAAAAACATGTTCCTAAGCACCCATGTGCCGGCGCTTGCCAACAGGAAGGTCGACTGGTTGGATGGCCGTAATCTGTGCCGCGAGTACTGCATGGATCTGGTCGCACTGGAGACCCAAGAGAAGAACAACCTGATCTTCCGTGTCATTCAGCAGAATGATGTGCCCTACATCTGGACCGCTGGACGCATTTGCGATTTCGCTGGCTGCGAGAATCGTCCCGATCTGGAGCCCAAGCATGTTTATGGCTGGTTCTGGTCTGCAACCCGCGAGAAGATTCAGGCCACCAACCGCATTCCACAAGGCTGGGGCTACAATCCCTGGTCTCAGACCGGTCACAAGAAGCGCCCACAGCCCGACAATGCTGAGTACGACATCAACCAGACCAAGGAGCAGTGTCTCTCCGTGCTGAACAATGTCTACAACGATGGCATCGCATGGCACGATGTTGCCTGCTACCACGAGAAGCCCGTCATCTGCGAGGATAACGAAGAGCTGCTGCGCTATGTGGCGGCCACAAATCCGGGCATTCGTCTATAAGCTGCTGAAGTTTAAATGCTTCTGCATTGTTTGTGTAATTTTAAAGCTACTTATTATAATACTCCCTAAATGAGTTCTTTTTGTATAATTTTGTTTAATGTGTACGACGAATGTGCAAGACAAATAGACTTTAGAATTTATAAATACCCCGATCTTACACATATAGACTATCTAGACACATGCCGGAAAATTCACACAAATTCTCTTGGTTCGTAACTGCCAATTTTACACGTAGAACTCGATTTTTTTGAAACTAAACTATTTCCTTCCTACAAATTGTATTTATATAAAATTGTTAAGTACGCCTATTCACTGCAAATTCGCTACGCCCCAAAATCTCTTTGGCATTTTAGTTCAAAAAGAAAAAACAAAGAAGAAAAGGAAAGAGAAAAGAAAAACTTACCATTCGATTGCCCTGCAAAACAAAGAGATTGAATAAAATGTTGTAATTCATAAAAAAGAAAACAATCATTTAAGTACTTTGGTTTATTTGACACGCCGACGTGTTGGTGTTCTCGAGCGACTATAATCCCGCCTAGAATCGGACGCAGAACGACTGCGACTCCTATGTGGTCCAGACTCTCGACTGGAATGGACACGATACCGTTTACGGCCATGCTCTTGCCTAGTTCTACTGTCACGCTCATTGCTGCTACTGCTCGAAGCTTTGCAGTTCTTTAATTCGAGCTCGGGACTCTCTGACCAGCGCCAGTTGCGAGACTGCGTCTCATTGTCATTCCAGCTGTGAGCGAACATGATTTTAGTTTAGTCACTAGACTAAAATGTACCTGGCAATTACCTGATTTGCCTGGATTTAGGCGTTCGACTGACAGAGCGCGCACTTCCTGGCGTGCCGCAGAGCTCCAAACTGCTGTTAAACAAATTGTTTGGATTGCGAAACAAATGGAGATAGCCACAGCTGTAGCCTTTGGGACATTTGCGTGTTAAGGACAAACCTTGAAGAAGCAACAAGTTGGGTAAGAAACAATAAAAGCTTTCAATTATCATTAATAATAATGTACAAAATGTACGCTGCGGCGGTTTTATAAAAGGATACGTAGTCCACACATGCGCTTCACGTACCGCAAACGGCACCACGCCATGCTTTCAGATTGGAGAACTCCACATTTAGGCGCCTGGCTGCATAATAACGACCCTGCAAATTGACGAAGGCGCGCAGCGCAAATCTGCAGAATATACAAAATATTTATGAGTTTACTCGCATATAAATAAATTGGAATGAGCATAATTTCAATACGCACCGCTCGTGCGCGTACTCCACAAAAACGTGACCTCGCAAATGGGGTAATGTATTGCACACCGCCCGGAAATTGACAATTTTTCCAAATTTTTCCAGCTCGCCCGTCGCATCCTTGAAGAACTCATCGTAGTCGGCGCGTAAATCGTGCTGTGTTAGCTCCAAATGCTCATCAGCTCCGGCGTACTCCTTGTGCGTAGCGTCGACCTGCAGCAGTGGATGCGTGAAGAAGTGACGAATCAATAGGATCTTCGCCAGCATGGGACGTCTGTGATTGAAGGTGCAACTGTGACCATAACGGCAGCAATTGGTGCGCGTGTAGAACTCGCATAATCGCTCCTCCGGATGCGTTTCGACCACACGTCGCAGCTCGGCTGGTGGACTGCGCTCCTCTGTGTCCTCCATGTATTCATGCATGCGGTGTAGCATCGCCTCGAACTCGGCTGCAGCCGCGTCCGCCAGTCTTTTACTCTCTTCGCGCCGCTTGCGCTGCTCCTCCTGCTGAGCAGCCAATGCCTCAGCTTGCTGTGCACGCAAGCGATCCAATTCGGCTTCTTGCTGTGCACGCTTGGCTGCATCAATCTGGAACTGATGCTGGGCCAATGCTTCGCGGCGCAACCATGCTTCTTCTTCATCCTGTTGCAAGCGCTCGCTAGCTAGTCGCTGAAATTCTTCGAGCTCCAGCTGCTGCTTAAGCCACGCTTGATATTCGGGATCTGACTCCCGCGCTTTTTCTTCTATCGCCTCGTCTTTTTGCCGTTGACGCGCTTGCTTCTGGCGTCGACGATGTCTTTGTTGTTTTTTCACCAACTTGCGCCAGGCTCTGCGAGTGCATAAGGTTTACAAATTGAATATCCAAGCAATTTATCAGTCCTACCTTTTTGCCGGCATTCTTCTTGCTTTGATTTTCATAAAATTGCAGTCACCCTGTAAAATCAATGTGACCACAGCAGAGAAGTCGATAAATCCTCACATTTTTGTTAGCTTTAACATAGCTCTTAATGTAAGCTGTAAATTACGTTTACGCATTTGCGAAATAAATCTTCATATTTATTAATGCTAGCATCATCATATTTATTTTTTATGAAGCGTATTTTTTATGCTAAAAGCGTTTTGCATATATAGTAAGTTATTTTTATTACAGTAAAAGAGTTCTATGGCTAACAGTGCTTATTCTCGTCTTAACATTTTCATGGACTGTTATTGAGTATACGTCAGCGCTGTATGTCAAACATGGTATTTTTGGTATTTCATTGTAATTAAAAAAATATTTTTTTTGGCAACTTACGCTTTTATAGTACGCGGTCGCACTAACCTTTTAATGTTTTGGTCTATTTTTTATGTAAATACTAGAAGAATTACCAAATAAAATACACAGTCGAGGATTTGGCGCTCATTATTCAAAATAAAATAACGCTAATAAAAGTCTATTAAGGTCCCGCACAATTGCACAAATAACAACAGTCAAACAGTCGCCGCCCAAGGCAACAGCTATGAGCAAGGTGCGCAGGCTGTACCATCAGAAATATCGTGAAGATTGGGAGCGATTCCCATCGTTTTCGGAGTGGTTGTGCCGTGGCGATGATGGCTACTCGGCGCACTGCAAAATATGCGACGCCAACGTTTTGGCACGACTCGCGTCCATTAAGCAGCACCACAACACGGCCAAGCATCAAAAGGCCCTCAAGTGTCACCAGTTCGCTGCAAAGGTAAGCGCCCAACAACAACAACAACAACAACTGCAGTCGAACCGTTTACAATGAAGGCATTTCTTCTAGGGTATTGCGATCAAAATGGAGCCCAGCGCAAATGAGGAGCCAAAGCCAATGTCACAAAAATATATCATTGCTTCGAAGCCGAAACCAAAAGCGAAACGGGCCAAGGTTGATAAAGTTGAATCCATTGATTCGATGGAGCCCGACACATGCTCGAACGATTCGATTCTAGAGGATTTGTTGGGCAACGATGATATGGAGCAGCAATATCTACAGGAGATAAGCGACCAGGAAATCGAACAAGATATAAAGCCGGAGACGATTCAAGAGTTTAAAATTGATGAAATGCAAGATGATAATCTAACAGACGACAACATCATAAGCGAATTTGATCTATTTGGCAAGAGCGTTTCCCTACAACTAAACCACATGGAGGTAAGCCAGGTGTTCGCTTTAATTAAGAATACTTTTTAATTACAATTGTATTTGCAGCTGGAGGATGCGTTGCTCTGTCAGGAGCGCCTGCAGGTAGTGCTAACAGAATTTCGACTAAAAATCTTAAAACGTAAATCAAAACGCAATTTCTAAACTTGTTTCAAACCTAAACTTATTATCAAGTTATATATAATTATATACACTGACAAGCATAACTAACTTATATACAGAAATATATGTTTATGTTTATTCCGCCTCGATTTCATCTATAAAGCTGCGACACTTTTTCTTCAACACTTTGACGGCTTCCAGGAATATAACCTCTGGCTTCAGAGCGCCAACCGATTCTACATTGAATATATAGTGATCGCGTACACGTGCCATTGTGACGGCATCGGCCAGATGCGGATAGCGGTAGACATTGCGACTGCAGCTGTCGTAGCGTGCATCCTTCACATAGGCGCACTCGTTCTCATCGATGCCAATGACGCCTGGCGAGAAACAGCTCTGCAGTAGATAGGCATCCTTGCCGGTCACTTCTCTGGTCAGATTGATTTGGGGCAGCAGTCGATAGTAGGCGGTGGCCACAGGCGAGAATTTGGCATGATCCTTCCCAAGGCCCTTGACGGCAATTAGTCGCAGATCCAGCTCGTGCCCCGGACGCAACTGTGCAATGAGTATATCCTCATGTATGCAGCCCACGCTGTTTTCAGTGTAAATCTGTCCTTGTTTGCCCTTGGGCAGCCATTTCAGATGGCCCGAATACACCTTGTGATTCTTATAAATATCATCAAAGTTGGACTGATCTTTGCTGGCATCCTTGCGACGTGTGCACTTCACTTTCAGCTCATATTCGAGCGTATCCTGCTCGGTACCTTGCTCCGTGCTCTCCTCTGTGCGATAGGCAAACAGACGGGGATCAGCCCTAAGCGGCAACAGACCCATGCGATGCGCCAGCACCTCATCCTGTATGATCGAAGTGTTGTTATAGATGTACACTTTCTCAATGGCCATGCTCGGCACCTCGCTTAGCATCAAACGGCGAAAGGCGTTTGCAATCGCTGGATAGACGCCAATCAGATCGAATTCCAGGCCATTTTCTTCATCATTCCTGCAGTTGGAATTTATACGTTTAAGGGTATTGGTCATAAATATATTCCAAGAGTCTTACCGTACAATCACCACTTGCAATTTGCTTTTAAATACGTCCATATTGAAAACCTCGTCGGCCAGCCCATAATCCTGGGGATCCTGCTTGACCTTGTACTCCTCCATGTAAAGCAAAGGCTGTTTCTTATTTTCAGGCATCTTACTATACGTTTAATCCAGAAATAAATCCCAAATAAAAGCAAGCGCAATTGTCGGTTGGTTGCCGCACGTGGTTGTTGTCAAAACAATCAGAGATGCGCATTCTTTGGCTATTCGTGACTGGGTCACTGTGACTGGCAAACTATCAGCCTACATTTCGGGGCATCTCTTATAGAAAATATGCATATATATTTAGTTAGCCTAATAATAATTAATAATAAATATCAATAAATAATAAAATGACGGCATTATAATCCCAGCCAAATGGTTAGGCTTACAAAAATCACAATCCCAGTAGTCACTGCGACACTTGTATTTGCACAAGATTGGTGCAAGTTGGCAGCACTGTGAATGCAGCATTGTGAATGGCAACTTTTAGCTATTTAACCGGCGAAATCGGTTCTCTCCAGCAGCAGATTTACGTAAAGCATTGCCAAAAGCAAAACAAAAATGTCGCGCACACTGCAACGTTTAATCGGCGGCTGCAGACGCTGGACGCAATCAAACTGCCGAGCACAAGTGCAGGTGCAGACATTTGCACGTGCTGCACTGCAACAGCAACAACGTAACTTATCAGCAAAAGCGGCAGATCCCACAAAAGGCAAGGGACCAATAACATGGAAGAGCCTGGCAGTGATTGGTGTTTTGGGCGCCGGAGGCCTGGGATTTATGCTGTACGTGAAGAGCGAGAAGGATGAGGCGCTGCTCAAGGAGCGCAAGCGTCAGCTGGGCAAGGCAGCTATAGGAGGTAGCTGGGAGTTGGTTGATTCGGAAGGTAAGGTGCGCAAGTCCTCCGACTTTCTGGGCAAGTGGCTGCTCATCTATTTCGGCTTTACTCACTGCCCCGATATCTGTCCCGACGAGCTGGAGAAAATGGCTTTAGTAGTCGATGAAATTGGTGCGTAACTGCTGGATGCATGCATAAATAAGTTGTAAATAATGTGAAGCTTTGCCTTGCAGAAAAATCGCCACAAACACCAGAAGTGCAGCCCATATTTATAACCGTCGATCCGGAGCGGGACTCAAAAGAGATTGTGGGCAAATATGTAAAGGAGTTCTCGCCCAAGCTGCTTGGGCTGACTGGCACCGTAGACCAGATACGAAATGTTTGCAAAGCGTTCCGTGTATACTTTAGCGCAGGGCCGCGCGATGAGGACAACGATTATATTGTTGATCACACCATTATCATGTACCTGGTCAATCCCGATGGTGAATTTGTCGATTATTATGGCCAGAATCGAGACAAGGATCAGTGTGTGTCATCAATTTTGGTTAACGTAGCAAAGTGGAATTCATTGAACAAGAAAGGCTGGTTCAGTTAGATGTATGGCGTTGCCACACTGCTGTTATTTCATATTAAAATTTTGTTTTGTATCAAGTTGGCAGCGCTAAGCATAACAGCCCCGTTTAACTTGTATGCTCGCTCTTTTTGACGTTCGTGCTGCGTGGATGTTGCAGAAATTGTTTTGTTTTCTCGCAATAAATATATAATCAATTACGAAATGGTGTGTGTATAGTATTGAACAGCCCAAAAAGAGTTATTTATTATTGCGTTGTTGTTTGTGTCAATCATGGGCATTGTTGCTCTAACAAAGATGCTTCCGTGATTCAGTCCACAACATAACCTTAAAAAGGCGGCGCTTTCGTGCTGATTTTTTGCAAATAATTAACAATATTGTTGTTTTGCAGCGTCCGTTAATGTTGCAAGGCCACGAGCGTTCCATAACGCAAATCAAATACAATCGCGAGGGCGACCTGCTCTTCTCCAGCTCCAAGGATCAAAAACCAAATGTCTGGTACTCGCTGAACGGAGAACGTCTTGGCACCTACGATGGACATCAGGGAGCCGTTTGGTGCTTGGATGTGGACTGGGAGAGCAGAAAGCTAATCACCGGCGCTGGTGACATGACCACCAAAATCTGGGATGTAGAATACGGCACTGTGATTGCCTCCATACCCACAAAATCTTCGGTGCGTACCAGCAATTTCAGTTTCTCTGGCAACCAGGCAGCTTACTCCACGGACAAGGCGATGGGTCAGAACTGCGAGCTGTTCATCATCGATGTACGCAATGCGGATTCAAGCCTATCGGAACAAGAGCCCACTCTGCGCATACCCATGGTAGAGTCGAAGATAACATCCATGTTGTGGGGACCGCTGGATGAGACCATCATTACCGGTAAGTCAATGACACACAGTTGACGTAGTTGTCAGTTATAATCCGATATAATTTACAGGCCACGACAATGGAAACATTGCCATTTGGGATATACGCAAGGGACAGAAGGTGGTTGACTCTGGCACCGATCACACAGCCGGAATCAATGACATGCAGCTCAGCAAGGATGGCACCATGTTTGTGACCGCTTCCAGAGATACCACAGCCAAGCTGTTCGATTCCGAGTCTCTGATGTGCCTGAAGACGTACAAAACGGAAAGACCAGTGAATTCGGCTGCGATTAGTCCCATACTGGATCATGTAGTGCTTGGCGGTGGCCAGGATGCCATGGAGGTGACCACAACGTCAACCAAGGCTGGCAAATTCGATTCGCGCTTCTTCCATCTGATCTACGAGGAGGAGTTTGCACGTCTTAAGGGCCATTTCGGTCCAATCAACAGTCTGGCCTTCCATCCGGATGGCAAGAGTTACGCCTCCGGTGGTGAAGATGGTTTCGTGCGTGTCCAGTCCTTTGATAGTACATACTTTGAGAACATTTTCGAGTAGTCCCCATCAGTAGTAGTTATTAGTTCCACATTTTTCGTGAATGCGCCATGTACATGTGCATAGAAAATTTTCAAATATACGCGAGAACAAGACGAAATATCATTTATTTAGTAAACATTAAAAGCATATAATAAGTAGGAGGCATTCGAGTAACTGCTTCTTCCGATTCAATTCCCGACGGCTTAGAAGAAGGAACGCTTCTTTTGTTGCACCACCACCGGATGTCCCTGCATGGCGGCCAATTGTGCGGGCGTGGGCAAGCAGCCGGGCGGCGGTGGAGGTATAATAACAGCTCCCGAAGTTGTGGTACGCAGCTCGGCACGTGAATCTACGTTAATAACATGCGAAGCAGCAGCACCTGCAGATGTGCTGGGTCCGACTAAGCCATAATCTGAACCATTATGCATAACAGGTAATTGTTGATGATGCGTCATGCCATAATACTGGTTGCTTGGTACGTGTATCTGCATCGCAGGTCCAGCTGGTGACGGCATATAGTTTACTCTCTGCTGTTGGCTCTGCTCGTACGAGGGGGGCGGAGCTCTCTGCGCATTAAATTAAAATGATAAACAATTGTCCAAAAATCGAAAGTCAATACGAACCATGGAAGCTGCGCTGTCGAAATTAAAGCTGTAATGAGGTGGCGCATTGCCAGATTTTTGCGGCTCCGCTGTTTTTTCTAAACAATGAAATCAGCTAACTTTTAAATGCTTATGTAAAGTTATTTATTACCTGGATCTGGGCTAGACATGTCTTTGTGTTTATTTCAATAAATTTTGTGAATTAGACGAAGCCTAGAAGTTGCCAGCCTGTCGGAAAAAATTTTGCCAATCACAGCCATTCACAGTGGGACGTAAACACGCGTCAGCTGTTTGTCAAACGAGAGGAAGACAATAGCGCACGGTTGTTAGCCTAGCCGAAAACAAAAATATTTAACAAAAATAGTTTTAGTACAACAGACTAAATTTGTTTGTAAATTTAATCCGTCAACATATTAACCACCGTAAAGAATGGCCCACGCAACACCGCAGGTGTGTAGTGTGACAATTCAATTGTTTTCGCTTTTCTCTGTGACGCAATCGCAACGCAATCTGTCGAATATTTTTATCTGTTTACAGGGCGTTAAGCTACTGAATGGCTTTAAGCGTCCCGGTCGCTTCGAGAAGGGGCTCGGGGCCCAGCTGCCAGATGCCTATAAGAAATTCTGGCGTGAATGGAAATTAACAAAGCCAGCGGCGGTACATTACATACCCAAGGAGAGCGAGTGGGAGCGTGACGAGGTTACGCATGCCATCAAACCGATACAAAGCATACCGCTGCCCCTTATCGATACACCCGAATCGCATCAGGGCATATGGGGCGGCGAGGCTGTCATCAAGGGGTTCCAAAAGCGCCAACAGACGAAGCGACGCGTGCCGCACTTTTGGGTGCCGACCCTGCGTCGCTCCGTGGTGCACAGCCTAGTGCTAAATGAGTATATGTCGGTGGTGGTAACGGAGCGCACGCTGGAGCAGATTCACGAATGTCATGGATTTGATCATTATCTGCTCAAAAATTTGGCATGTGATTTGCGATCGGCACTGGCTTTGAAACTGAAACGCGAGGTACTGAAGGCTCTGCAGCTGGGATGTCCAGCCTTGGCAGCGGAACCCAAGCATCAGAAAGATGTGCTCAAGGAATACAGTCCATATCTGGCATCATACACACCCGAGGAGATCGATTGGTATGGCCACACCTATATCGAAGCCATACGCAAGCTGCAGCATCAACTGCGCGCAGCGGAACAGGTGCTACCGCATAAGGTTGAGTTTCGTACTAAATTGATCGAACGACTGCGGGAGGCGGGCATAACCGAAGCGGGCAAAAAGGAGCCAAAAGATGCGATTGCTAATAGTGAGCACAAGGATGCGGACATTGAGGCATTGACCAAGCTGTAAGTATCCGCCTTGCTCTTAATTCAGCTCAAATTGTAACCTTTTTTCTTGGGTGTTCTTGCAGTGAATCATCGACCTCGTCTTCAAGCTGGCTGTCCAAGATAAATCCGTTTGGCAAGAAGGAAACGTAAAGGACGCTACATTCAGTCAGCTACTATTGGTTATATGTTGAACATTTAAAATTAAAACTTGTCTGGAACTCTTCAGTTCGTCCAAATTGATCCCCGATTTCAGTGTCTTCTCGTATTTTAAACATATTTATTCGTTAGATTTAGGTAAAAATTACAAAAAAAAAAAAAACATTTAAGGAAAGAGCACACGGAGATATCCACGGCATAGTAGACGAAGGAATGATTGCAAATTCCGTCGAGAAACACACATACACAAAACACTTTACATACTTAAGTCTATATCCTATATATGTATATATGTATAAATCAAACTTTGTGCCAGTTTATGCCAAGTCGTGATGCATCCCACTATGCAATGGGATTCTTTTTCATTAGCTCAATGTCGGCGTTCATCATGTCACTCACGAGCTCCAGGAAACTAACTTTTGGCGTCCAGTTTAGTTCGCGTTTAGCCTTTGAGGCATCGCCTTGCAGCAGATCCACCTCTGTGGGCCGAAAATACTTAGGATTGATGCGCACGCGCACAATATCGGTGTTGCGCTCTACGCCCACCTCCTCAATACCCTTTCCACGCCACGTGATCTCGCGTCCGATGTGCTTAAATGCAGCCTCAACAAACTCACGCACACTGTGCGTCTCTCCAGTGGCAATTACGAAATCGGCTGGCGCATCGCGCTGCAGCATCATCCACATGGCCTCCACATAGTCGCTGGCATGACCCCAGTCACGTTTCGAGTCCAGATTACCCAGTTCAAAGAATTCCATTTGATTGAGCAATATCTTTGCCACAGAACGCGTAATTTTACGTGTCACAAAATTCTCACCACGCCGTGGACTCTCATGATTGAAGAGTATACCATTGCAGGCAAACATGTCGTAGGCCTCCCTATAGTTGATCACTATCCAAAAGCCGTACATCTTGGCACACGCTGTAACTTGGGAAATTAATAAACCGATTTTTAATTTGATATTGAGTTCTCACCATAAGGCGAACGTGGATAGAATGGCGTCTGTTCGTTCTGTGGCGTCTCCACAACCTTGCCATACAGCTCGGACGTCGAGGCCTGGTAGAATTTAACCGATTTCTCCATGCCACAAGTGCGTATGGCGTCTAGAATGCGCAGCGTGCCTACGGCATCAACCTCTGCCGTGTATTCGCTCAGATCAAATGAAACCTTCACATGCGATTGTGCAGCCAGATTATAAATCTCCGTTGGCTTAACCATGTTAATGATCTTCACCAGGCTGCTGCTGTCCGTCATGTCGCCATAATGCAATTTCATGCGTCCGCCCTTGTGCGCCTTCGGATCCGCGTACAAATGCTCAATCCGGGTTGTGTTAAAGGTGCTCGCGCGCCGAATGATCCCATGCACCTCATAGTTCTTCTTCAACAAAAACTCGGCCAGATATGAGCCGTCCTGCAAGCAACGTAAACAATAGTAAGTAACACGTAAGCACTTACAAATGAATCAAACAAGAACACTTATTTTCGTAGTATCGAAGAATAAATACCCTCGCTTGTTTACATATCCTATGTGCGTTATATTTCTATGCCAGCTTCCCTTAAGTTACCTTGCAAGACCAAAAAACTAGCCAGTGTAGCCAATTGAGATGGCAATTTTTAATATTGAACTAATCTACTTTCCTGAATCGGCAACACTGGCCAGATTGTCTTAGCAACTCTATGTACAGTTTGTATGGGATAAATGTCTCATTGTATGGGTTACACATTTTGTAACAAAATCAGAACACCCAGGGCAAGGGTATTGAACAACTGATAAGCTGAACACGCCTGTAATTAACAAATATTAAGACATAAGCCAATCAATCGATGACTCAGGTTTTAGCTCTTGTTACCACATATCTAACAAATAATCCCCCCTCCTTGCCACACACAATACACCCACCTGTCCCGTTATGCCGGTTATCAGCGCCACTTTGTCACGAGCGTTGACTGCATCACCTCCGCTTGTTGTGCCATTCAAATCCTTGCTATTGTGATTATTAACAAGGCGCGCTTGTTTGCTTCCCGTGGCTCCATCGCTTGTGGACATGTTAGCTGCCTTAGCTTTGCCGAAACTCTGTTTTCTGCTAATCGTCGCTTTGGTGCAGGGTATAAACAATTTTTCTTTATCTGCTGCGGGAAATGTTGCCACCCGCATCAAAATTATAATACTCTTTTAGAGGTGGCGCAAAGAAACGCTCATTTTTAAAAGCGTACCACACTGACGTCACAAACTTACACTAAATGACTCGGTGAGCACGCTCAATCACACTACCTTAGAAATGATTACTGTGGTGGGTCATTTCATTGATCTGGCAGCACTAACAAACTCGACGGCACATTCGTACACAAGCGCAGGCCAGTTGTTAAATTAAAGTTATTGTTATTAAAAAAAAAAAAAACAAACAAAATGATGGTAAGTTAAAAGGATAATACAGTGGCTTTAATGAATTAGCTGTAGTGTAACACGGTTACATTCCGCGCTCCACAATTGCATTGGAGACGCGCACACAAAGAATTGCTTATCAGTTTAATGGGCGTAATTGAGAGTGTGTATATGATATTTTTATTGCATTGCTCGCAAATTAGGACGGCACGGATGAGTCAAACCTATTGAATAGTCCCACGAAGAACAATGGTGGTACTATGGAAATCTCATCGCCAAATCCATTGGCACCGACAGCAAACACAAACGGAAGCGGAAGTGCCACTTCACCGGATAGCTCTTCGTCGGCGCCAGTGACACCAGCTGCTCTGGGCGAAAATTCGCTGCATGTGGAGATCTCTGATGCGTTAAGCGAGAAGGAAAAGGTCAAGTTTACCGTTCACACACGCACCACGTTGCCTGGCTTCACCAAGAAGGATAACAATGTGGTGCGCCAGCACGAGGAATTTGTTTGGCTGCACGATCGCATCGAGGAGAATGAAGACTATGCGGGCTATATTGTAAGTGCACCATAGGAAATAAACATAATTGCCGAAAAATATATTACATTTCTGTTTCAGATTCCGCCCTGCCCGCCACGACCAGACTTTGATGCGTCACGTGAGAAGCTGCAGCGTCTAGGTGAAGGCGAGGGCAACATGACCAAAGAGGAGTTCAAAAAAATGAAATCCGAATTGGAAGCGTAAGTACAAGGTTTCGACTTTGCGATAAATCAATTTATTATCTGCTTAACGTTCTTCTAGCGAGTACCTGGCTACGTTCAAAAAGACCGTTGCAATGCATGAAGTATTTTTACGTCGCCTGGCCAGCCATCCCGTATTTCGCATCGATCAGCATTTGAAGGTGTTCCTGGAGTACGATCAGGATCTGTGTGCTAAGCCGCGCAAAAAGATGGCCATCTTTGGTGGGTTTGTCAAATCGCTGGGCAAGACCACTGATGAGATACTACTGAGTGCTACTGTGCGCGATGTTAATGACTTCTTTGAGAATGAACTGCAGTTCCTTACCGAATACCATGGTCACTTGCGTGAGGCAGCAACGCGCACTGAGAAAATGACGCAACGCCACAAAGATGTCGGCTATTCGCATCAAAAGATATCGAACGCCCTGACACAGCTCTCGACCACCGAGAAAGGCAACGTGGAGACTTTTGTGGCGAAGGCTGCGGAGGTGTTCGAACGCATAAAGGCAAGCTACTCTAGCTATGTTCAAGTTCTTTAAAATATGTTGCAAATTTTCCAACTAGAATCTGGAGACACGCGTTGCCAGCGATCAGGATTTAAAGCTGGGCGACACTTTGCGCTATTATCAGCGGGACAGCAATGCCGCCAAGGCCCTGTTGATACGACGCCTACGTTGTTTGGCTGCCTACGAGACAGCCAATCGGAATTTGGAGAAGGCGCGTTCCAAGAACAAGGATGTTCATGCGGTAATGATTATTACAGAGTAGCGGCTCTTAACTTTTCAAATCTTGGTTTCTTTGTGCTCACGGTGCTTGGCAGCAATATTTTCTATTATATGAGCCCAGCAGACAATATGTCAACTTTTACATTCTTCTATTCAAATTAGCCTGTAAATTTAATTAAACTGAAAGTTTGTCCGTGTTATATGCATACATTTAAATTGTCATGTACGCCTAGTTTAAACATGTCCGAATTTGTATTAATCGAAATTGTTACAAAAATTTCTTTTACTATTTAATTTGTACGGTCAATTCAAACATAATTGTCTGCCAGGATCTCACAGCTCTGGTACGCCAAGCATAATTATTTCTTTTATCCTATATTTTTCCAAATCAAACAATTGTGTCGGCTGCAAAAGTATTACTATATATATTTTTGGCAATTCAACTTTTTAAACATTTGCGTTTCTTACTGTTCAATTACAACGAACTCTCGCATTTCTTTTTCTTTGTGTCTCCATCTGTGCGTGTGGTTGTTATGTCTTCTGCTGCAGCCCTTGGAGGTGCAAGAGGTATTTGGCATTTAATGTTAAAACAAATTGGTCACCTTTAGTCTAGTGTCTTGTTATTCTAATTCAAAATTTAAAGTAGACACACTCACATAAAGTATACTATCGTTAAGCAGTTGCCGCATGCTCTCTAGCATTTCATCCACCCAACTTTTGCATGCCTTTTACTATGTTTTTGTCATTTGTTTGAACAATTTGCTAATCTTTGATCTGTTTTATGCAGGCTGAAACTGCTCAAGTGGAGGCCTGTGAAAAGTTTGAGTCTATGTCAGCCTGCGGCAAGGAGGAGCTGATTGGCTTTCGCAATCGACGTGTGGCTGCTTTTAAAAAGAGGTACTACAGCACTTGCAATATTTTCTTTAGAAAATCATATAATGCCTGAATATTTTTGCAGTCTCGTTGAGTTATCCGATCTGGAGATCAAGCATGCCAAAAGCCAATATGATTATCTGCGTCAATCGCTGTTGGCCCTTAAGGAAATCGCCTGAAAGCCGACAGGCTAGGCATAATCATCTGCACATTGTTTACACACCATTATTAGCCAAGGGCCTCCAAGGAGTAAATCAATTGGTTTTTGCTAAGCAAACAGTTTTATTATCTCTTATCTACATATTATTATTAAATGCATATGCATATACGTATACATATATGGCATATGTAAGATCTAGCTAATGCTTTGAATGTATATGCATTTCCGAATATGAATTTGTTTGTGAAACAGATCGCTTTTATATATGTATGTATATTGTATAACGAGCATTCCTCTATGAACTTTACTATTATATGAACATTGAATTCTAAATATAAAATTATATACAATAATCTTTTTGAAAACTGTCATCCATTCGAACACAATCCAATTGGTATGTCCCATATATTGTTTGGTAGTCGTAGCCAGGACAACCAACAAGAAACTCTAAATTTTCCACATAACTACCCCGTGTAAACACTTTGAAAATTTTATCCATTATATATTATATTTATTTCTTTTGAGTTTTTTGGATTTACTTTGTTAAAATCATGGATGAGTTTGGTTGCTTTGATCCCAAGCAGCCTGCTAGCGACAAGGTACCGGATTGGCGTACTTCAACGTATCGCGGACATCGTCACATTACGGACACACGACTGGGCACCAAGTTGAGCGCTCCAACTGAGTGCTCCAATAAGGGTATATATGTGCGTGATCCGTTGCTGCACGATAAGCAACACAGCGAAGTGAGCGCTAATTACACGTGGAAGGTGAGCTATAACAGATGCTCTTAGGAAACAATTCCTATTTCTTTAAATGCTCCTCTTTGCAGTATGGCGATCCAAATATTTTGCGCAATCCGTCGCTCAACATGAAGACACAGTTCATGAAGCGCTTTGAGGAGGGCAATTTGCGTTTTGTGAAACGTAAGATTAAGCCCATGACGAGCGTGACCCAGGACACGTACACATACATTGAGCTGCCATTTGAAACTGAGCCGGTGCCAATGCATATGCCCACACCGGTGGAGACCACCAAAGTAATCATAGATCGTTCGAAAATTGGCTACACCAAGTATTTGGATTCATCAGCCACCACATATAATCTATCCTATGTGCATTATACGCCACATGATCTGCAGGCAAGCATTGCGGCCCACGATAACATCACATTTTGGAACTGGACACAGAATGGTCCCGACGCCACACACGTCTCTCGTGTTGCGGACGAGACCATGTGCGATGAGAATAATGCACACGACTGCCCCAAACGCCGTTTGGAGTATCAGAATCAGCTTAAGCGTGTACCGCACACCGGTCTCGTGACCGAGGTGCGCGACAACTATGTGGATCCCAAGATGAACAAGGAATATATCGAATACGATATAACCGACGTGAAGCCAATTCTTGTCTCGGAGGAGGTTACACCGTTTGCCAAGATCAGCGAGTATGGCGTTTATGGTTCCGGTAATCCGGTGCTCAAATATGTTTAGACACGCAGTTTGAATTTTATTTGAAATAGCGAAATATATTCTGGTTTATTTTAACCCTACAGAAACTAATATTTTGAAAAACAATGTGGCAACAGATGATAGATGGACGTGACCAGCACTTCCTCATCGTCCTCAAAGGCAGGCACTTTAGCGCTCGACTCTGGCGCCTGTGCTATATAGATGGGTATATCCATTTTGGCGAACTCGTGTATGAACTGCCGGCAGACGCCGCAGGGCGTGGTATAGCCAGCCGGATGATAGGCAACAACGGCGCCTGCATTGAACGTCTTGCAACCTTCGCTGATGCCTTTCACCAGAGCCGTACGCTCGGCACAACAGCACGGAGTGAAGGCCACATTCTCAACATTGCAGCCAGTGAACACCTTACCGCTCTTGGAGCGAAAAGCAGCGCCTACCTTAAAATTACTGTACGGTGCATAGGCATAGCAGCGAGCATTGAGCGCATCCTCCAGCAGTTCACGGCCACAGTTATCTGTGTTGGCACAGTATTATTTGGGATTCATGACAATATTTATGACCGCAATAGAAACATAGGTGCTGCCACTTACCCAATTGACCAAAGCATATGGTATACTCGTGCAGTTTAACGGGATGTGGTATCTTAAGCGACTCAGAGACAGGAAATCCGATTCGGCGCGGCTGACGTCTGTCCACTTCATTTTGCAGCTCCTTCAATTGCTCCATATAACATTTAAGCCTCTTGTACGTCTTGCGCTTAGCGAGCTCATTCTGCAGAGCATCAAGCCGTTTCATGCACTTCTTTAGTTCCTTGCGTTTTTGTGACATTTTATTTTTAGACATTTATTAATTTTATTTTTTAATTTTACAGACTCTATCGCTTGCCAAAACTGCTAATATTATAATGATACCCATTTGTCAGTTATTCCTTTGAAATGAAGCCTTGGCCTACTGAGATTCAATATACTCGAGGATTTGGTCATCATCCTCAACTTTCAGTGACCATTTTGCCAAGATATGCCTGGTAAACATCTTTGAATTTCATTCGAAAAATACTGCTGCCATATATACACATTTTACGAATGGCCAATAGGGTCTTCCGCTATGAGGCAATGGTAGCCGGATTCGACTTTTTTGGTTTCCTGACTGACTTTAGTGACGCACTAAAGCGACTCATTTAATCTGGACTACCTACGTGCTGTGCCTTTATTGTTATCATGTTTACTCGAATCGATTACGAACGATTCAATAAGATATTTGTATTGGTTTCATCAATTGCCCTCTAAGGTATCATTATACCCTGTACCCATTATATGCAGAAAAGACTGGACTATATATGTATTTGTTTACTATTTTTGATTTGCAATCATGACCCTTATATTCAAGCTTGTAAAAAAAATAAGCTCCAATATTTGTTTGGACAGTTTGGAGCTGGAAAAAGGGTATCTTCCGCTCGGACATCTCTTGTCAACAACAAGCAGTCCGATTAGATTATCAGCATCAGAATATAGTCATCGCAGCGGTTTATTGATACGCGTTTAAAATTGTCGCAATATGCAGTTACTAACTGCATAGAAAGCAAACGGATATCGATTTTATAGAAATTTAAAAAATATAAAAAACTTGGGGAATCCCAACTTTAATGTATTAAATTACTCATGGACAACCTAAAATATATCTCACTAAGAAATTAATTATCACTAGGATTTATATGCCCTAAAATCGAGCTGGTTAACAATGTTTATCAAATATTTTTGATTAAGGCTCAATTTTACTTTAGAGAAACTTACAAGAATTTTGAATTTTGTTTTTTGATTGGTCAAAACATTTTGAACGTATCTGTTTTAATACCCTTGCAGAGGGTATTATAATTTTGTCGTGAAATGTGTAACGCATAGAAGGAGACATCTCCGACCCCATAAAGTATATATATTCTTGATCAGCATCAACAGCCGAGTCGATATAGCCATGTCCGTCTGCCTGTTTCTATGCGAACTGGTCTCTCAGTTTTAAAGCTATCCTAATGAAACTTTGCAGAAGTCCCTAATTCTGTTGCACGCAGCACATATGTCAAAACTAGCTGGATCGGACCACTATATCATATAGCTGCGATGGGAACGATCGGTCGAAAATTATGTTTTTGTATGAAAAAACATTTGGTTTATCAAGATATCTTGACCAAACTCGGCATTAACTCATTTCCCTGTGCTTCTTAGATACGGGCAAAGCACTAGCTAGGTTGGGTCTGCAAGGGTATTAGATCTTCGGCGTGCCAAGATAGCCTTTCCTTCTCGTTTTATTTTATAAATAGTAATTTTGTTTACTAGTGTCAATATGTGATTTATTAAGCAAATTCTAAAACCTTTGGATTATGTTAACCTTGAAATGTATCTAGATCTTTCAGTAGGTGTGGAAACTCTTTGGCAACAGATTGAAAATGGATGTGCAAAGCACGGGATCATCGCTTTTGAATGGCTGCTCGGGCGTTCGCTCCTCCAATGCCTGTGCTATATAGATGGGTATATCAGTGTTGCCAGCAAACTCCCTGATAAACTGTCGACACACGCCGCATGGTGAGATGAACACTTCGGGCTTATAGGCGACCACGGCGCCGGTCGAGAACTGCTGATGGCCTTCACTGATGGCCTTGGTAAGGGCCGTACGCTCCGCACACGCTGTTGGCGTAAAGGCGGCATTCTCCACATTACAGCCAGTGAAGATTTGATTGCTGATCTTCGCACGGAAAGCGGAGCCTACCTTGAAATTGCTATACGGCGCATAGGCGCGCTGGCGCACCACATATGCAGCACATAGCAGTTCCTGAACCGTTGCATCTGCGTAAACAAGTTGACACATAACAACCATTGTGGTCGAAAACGAGAATGCTTTCACTTACCCAAGTTGCCGTATGGGACCACGGACTCTAAAATTTCTGGCTGGGCCAAGCCTTTTAACAGATGTGCCATATTAATAAATGTTTCTATTTATAAATTATAATTATAAATTATAAATACGCGCTCGCGGAGGTAACAAACAATTTTGTGCGCCGGTCCGTGTGTCCCCTAAAAACGTCCGATGACAAATGGACAGTATTTAGTGTAGACGCCGTGTGTTATTGAGGAGCGAACCGATCGTTAGTAGCAGCTGTGTGTGTCTGATAACAAGGCTGCTGCTCGGACAAATTGCCCAACAAATACACAGAAAAACTACAAATGGGTGAGTAGGAAATATAAATGTTATCTGCACATGTGTATGTGTTAACAAAGCGGGGTAGTTTTACAATTGCACTTGGTTAAATGAGGGGTATTCACACGTTGTATTTCACATAGTATAAGACGAATGGTGCGCCTTATTTGCCATTGAGAAACCGGAAGCTATTGGGCAGCAGTTCCAGCACGCTGGTACACAGCACACGGAGCGGCAAATTGGTTGGCTTGGCTGCATACAGTGGTATATCCTTGCCATTGACGGCAAACTCGGACAGAAACTGACGACACACACCGCAGGGCGTTGTGAAGCCGTTATTCTGCTCTGCCACCACGGCGCAGGCCACAAACTCGCGTTTGCCTTCGCTAAAATACAAGTCGCAACTAATTAAATGAAAAAAAAAAACAGTATCTAGGGCAAGGACTGTTCACCTTAAGGCCTTCACTGCGGCAGTTCTTTCTGCGCATATGCTGGCAGCATAGGCGCCATTCTCAATGTTGCACCCAGTGTAGATGGCCCCATCGCTGGTGCGTATCGCAGCGCCCACGGCAAAGTTACTATATGGACAATAGGCATGATTTCGCGCTTCCGCTGCGGCCCTGATCAGCTCCTGTATGGAAGCATCTGAAAAACAAATAGACAGCGCTAAAATCTATATTTATCGAGTAATTAACAAGTCTTGTCGCACCTAAGCTGTCGTGCAGCCGGACATTGGCATCGTCTCTAGCACCATTTATGAACACCTGCGTCATGGCTCTATATATTTTCTAAACGTTCTAATTTCAGCGTTGAATAGGAGCAAAGCTTTTGCGTTCTACTTTTGCTACGATTAGAACCAATTATGGTGTACTTTCGTTCAAGCGCTTGCTGCAGATTTAGTGTCCACCGAAATCATTTTCACTATTTGCCGTGCAATATGCTCCTATTGGGCACTCGTTCTTTCGACATCGCGTCATCTGACCTTAATTTTTTCGAGAACTTTGAATCCGTTATAGGCGGATGCAACTGTAGCAACAGTCAGCTGTTTCAGAGACATTTGAAAAGTTATCGATATGTTTTTTATCGATACACGTTTTGCTTTGTAAACAAAAAGGTATGTAAGTATACAGTGTGTGTGTGTGTGTGTGTGTGTGTGTGTGTGTGTGTGTGTGTGTGTGTGTGTGGGTTTTCCGACGTTATCAGCCTTTAATGATAATCGGAAAATTTTTTGAGTGGCAGTGGCATATTGATATCAAGGCAGCCATTTAGTGAGTCGTGCTTGTTGTGTTTTGTCCTACACTCTTTTTTAATATGTCGTCGTCGTCAGCGTCCGGCAATCCGCAGCAACCGGAGGACATCGAGCGCGCTATGGGTGGAGCCGAAGAACATGCTTCACAGCGTTTGCCGCCCATTGACTATGATCTGGATCGCTTTCCATATTGTATTGTTTGGACACCAATACCAGTGCTCACTTGGATATTGCCATTCATCGGTCACATGGGCATCTGCATGAGTAATGGCGTAATCAGGGATTTTGCTGGACCATATCTGGTGACGGAGGACAGAATGGCATTTGGACGTCCCACACGCTATTTGCGCTTGCATCCGAAAAACGTCGAGGGTGGCTCCTATGCCTGGGATGAGGGTGTCTCCAAAGCTTCTGTCCTATACGGCACGCGCATGCACAACATATTTTGTGATAACTGTCACTCGCATGTCGCGACGGCTCTCTGCAATATGCAATACAAGGACAGCACCAGCTGGAACATGATCATTCTGTGCTTCTGGTTGTTCGTTTGCGGCCGCTATGTAGGAGTCTGTGGCTTCATCAAGACCTGGTTGCCGTTTCTAATACTACTAACTGTTGTTGTTTTGCTCGCTGTGTACTTTTAGGGCCTACCAATTAAATCAGTTAATCAAAATTATGCCTAAGCAAGATCATTGTTTGTTTATTAGAAAAAGAATACTAAGTACTACTTATGACTCATGTTTTTGTTGTTGTGTTTTTGGCCTCACTCTTCTAGAGCGCGGCTGACATCGTCTGCTACTGCGAGTAACTTTTTCCATTGGGTAGCAGACAGCGAGATACCCTTCTTGCCCGGCAAAACTTTGCCATCCTTCTCGTAGTGCTCGCGTATGTCAACCATTTTTTTGCCGCGGAACTCATTGATGCGCACCTGACGCATGCCCTCGAGTGTCCATGTGCTAACACCACCATCTCCATCATCCTTTTTTGACTTTTCCGCGGTGCCGGTCTCCTTGGCCTTTTTGCTTGGCGGTGGATTACGCTGCAATTTATTGTTTTGTTAAATATTGTTGATTTAATTAACGCCAGTTGAAATTCTATAATTCTTACATCATCCGGACCGCTGTCACTGTCAGACGAGGAACTTTTTTGCTTCCTGATTTTTGGCATTTTTAATTCGAGACTGAATTGCTGCTTGCTGATAAAATATTTGGCGCAAATAATTTGCGTCGACTGCGTTGCCATTCACTGCTCAATTTGGCATTGACATTCTCGTGTTAACGTAAATGCGACATAGACGCCGATTCTGCCGCATTCTTTTTCTAAGTAAGCGGCGGCATCAGTTGTAAACGCGCACTTTTTCTTCTTGTTTTGCGTACATTCGATTGCCGCTGGCAGAATATTAAGAGAAAAGTGAAAAACTGTATTATAAACAGTAACTGAAAATTAATAGTTTGTGGTAAGCGTGTGTTTATTTTATTTTTCGATACAATTTGCGCTAAAATCTGCACACATTTTATATGTGCTCTTAAATACATACATATGTACATACAAATGTACATGCGCGTTTCCCTTTTTTCCTTAAGAGTTTAAAATAAAATACACACATAAAATGGGTAAGAAGACCGACAATCCTGAAACAAACAATGCATCCTCTGGCGCTGAGGAAGAAGAGGAGGAATATGCCGTTGAAAAGATTTTAGATCGTCGTGTGCGCAAAGGAAAGGTTTGTACGGGGAAAAGCGTCTCGAGTGGGAGGCTGGGACATCTTGCTAATGATCATTCCCATTTTAAAGGTGGAATACTATCTCAAATGGAAGGGTTATGCAGAAACTGAAAACACTTGGGAGCCGGAAGGAAATCTTGATTGCCAGGATCTTATACAACAATATGAGCTGAGTCGCAAGGATGAGGTAAGTCGTGAATTTGGTACAGTTGTGTTGTAAATTGTTTACTACGGATTTCCCATGCAGGCCAATGCGGCAGCCTCTTCTTCTTCGTCCTCTTCGAAGAAAGAGCGTCCCGGCAGCAGCACCAAGGTCAAGGAGACCGGCCGTACCAGTACCACAGCCAGCAACAGCAGCGGCAGCAAACGGAAATCCGAAGAGCCAGGTAGGCGACACCTCAACTGTCCTTTCATATATGCAATCAGATATACATTTGTTTGATATATATGTGTGAAGATTTCTATATATGTAAGCATGCCAAGTAATAAGCAATGTACTTCAGCTGGTCCAGCAGGTAGCAAATCAAAGAGAGTCGAGTCTGAGGATACCGGCGATATAATACCGGCGGGCGGCACTGGATTCGATCGCGGCTTAGAAGCTGAAAAGATACTGGGCGCCTCCGATAATAATGGCCGCCTGACATTCCTTATTCAGTTTAAGGGCGTCGATCAGGCGGAGATGGTGCCATCGACTGTGGCTAACGTTAAGATACCTCAAATGGTAATACGCTTCTATGAGGAGCGCCTCTCCTGGTATTCGGACAACGAAGATTAAGTGTTGCAGGTCCCAAATTTGTTGTTCAAAAATAACTTTTTTTCTCAGCATATTAAACATTATGTACTTTTATCATAAAATTCCAATTAATAAACATGAACTAGCCTATGTTCAAAATTGTGTAAGCGGCATCTCTAAACGTGGACGTCATGCATTAACCAGATGTAGTTCTAGGGATTCAACAGCTTGTTCGCCACATTGCATTCGGAATTTTCGAGCACATTGCCGCAGCAGGACCAATGCCGACGACCCGGATGACCCGCATGCCCGTGACCACAGCCGCTGTAGCCAGGCATTCGGCCTTCGCACGAGCACTTGACGGTCTTGCTACCCTTGCCGGAGCAGAAGGAGCAGCAGTGGTAGATGCCACTGTGCGGACGCACCTGGCGGGAGTGAAAGGTAAAGGGGCTGCCCTTGATTTGCCGCTCATTAATGGAGATAGTTAGTATGAGTGTGCCCTGTGTGTCGGGCGTAAAGGAAATGCTGTAGGTGCCGTCGCGATGATCGGACACCTCAATGGGCAGAAACTTGACGCTGGCATCCTTGTACTTGATAATGCAATTGATTTCCAGCCCGCCATGGCATAGCGCCACCCCGTCCGCGTCGCGTGACAACAGCAGCAGATCAACCTTCTTGTGCAGTCGCAGCTGCGAGAAGCCCTCCCATTGTAGGGTGCACAGAGAAGGCTCAACGGTTTGCATGGTTATAATGCCGTACAGTGGTATATCATGCTGATTCTTGGTGCTAGGCGCTCGTATTTTCGATAGAAAATGCAGTGAATCGGATATCTGTAAGAAATTAAATGAATGAACCGAGTCATTTGCTAGGAACTGTACTGTACTCAAAAAGTGTGACTGTTATTTTAAGGTTATGTCCGAAAACTGTCACATGTACAGTTGCTGCAAGACGGAAAGGTGCCAATTTGTATTGCGAATATGAATATTTTGATAATTCGACCAAAATGTTAATTTAAGTAGGATTCACTTAAGTTTTTAGTACAGTTCCAGCGTTGAGACTAGACCGTTTGACCCATACGCACCTTGGGATCGACGGGCGGCTTGAACTGTTGGCAAAACTCGAAGCGTTTTAAGAGAATCCGAGCGAAGCTTAGTATCTCAACATCGGCGCCAATGTCGCAGAGCTCCTGGCTAAAGCGTATCACGTCCATAGCCTGTTGCGTGCGTTTCTCTAGAGGATTAATGTTTCAATATTTAGTATAAAAATCTTCCCCTTTTTCGGCTAAATAAAGGTTGGATCTCTCAGTACTATGAACCAATTGATATCGCCATAGGATTTCTGGCATTCTTGGATTCTTTCGTTCTACTCAACCTTACCCAATTCGAGTTGTTGGTTGAGTATAAGCTCCACCTTGGATTCCCTGGCCCGATTGATCTGCTGCAGCAGTGTGTTGCGATGCGCCTGAAGCGCTTCCACGTAGCGATCCATATAGCTCTCCACCTGGGCCTGTATGTCATCACACCTGGCATTTATGCTGCGTGTAATATCGTGCAACCGCTCGATCGAGTGCTCCGCATACTGACACAGCGGACGCGTTTGCTCCGTGGCATCGTTTAGATGCTTGGTCACCTGCAGCTGGGTGATTGCCTTGGCGACGGTCTCGTGGCGATGGCCACGATGCTGCAGCACCAGGCAGTCCGGGCAAGCGAGCTGCAGAGGGGGCGAACTGAGTTAACAATGTAATTAGAGTGGAATCCTGGAAGCCTAACCTGCCGGCAAGCCACACAGAAGGACTTCAGCTCGAAGCCGTGCAGGCCGCACTTGAGCAGCACCTGGCTGCTGTCTCCCAAGCCCAGTTGTTGTTGCTTCTGTTTGCGTGTACGTCGCAGTTCTAGGATGTTGCGCATGCGATGATTGGCAGTGCTCCGCTGTCGCTCATGGGCCTCCTTGCACAGCGTGCACAGATTCAGGGTGCAGCTGATGCAATGATAGGTGGCCTGAAAGGATAACCAACAAACGAACTGGTTAGCTTCGGCGGAGGGAGGTCCAAGGTGGCTTCCCACTTCAGATCTTACGCTTATCTCCTCGCTGCACAGTGAGCACCAGACACGCGAGATGATATCGTCGCCGGCTTGCAGACGCAGCGCCTCAATGCGTCGCACCAGCAGAAAATTCTGCGGCAGCTGTCGCACGCCGCCCAAGGTCGGCAGCTCCGTGACGAACTGGCATATGTGGCAGCGTATGAAGCGCGTAGACTCCGGCTCGCTGGCAAAGCTGGCGTTCAAGCGTGTGCTGGAGGAGCACGCCGAGGTCGAGCGTTTGGCTTCACCTTTACCCTGGAACACACACACAAACCATGAAACCATGAAGAGCAGCAGCTAAACTCCAATTTACCCGCAGCGTCAGGCGATCCAAGGACTTTTTGCTGCGCAAACTGAGACTTGCGCCGCGCTGCCTGGCCGGCGAGACCGTGGCCAGGTCGCTGCCTGTGTCCGGCGTGGAGGAGAGCAAGCTGTAGCTAGAGCGCTCGTCCCACAGTGCCTCCTCCCTGAGATTCTCATTGACCAGGCACTGCAGGCAGAATGAGTGCAGGCAGTGCAGCGTGCGCGGATCGGTGTAGACATCCATGCATATGCCGCACTTGAGCTCCTCGGGATAAACGATGCTCACACAGCTCGTGTCGGGCGGCAGCGTCCAGCTGGGCGAGGGTGACACCAGCGGCGTGCCCGCCGGCGAAGGCGTCCGGCTCCTGGAAACCAACAAGCCGTTGTCATAGTACTCGCTGGCTGCTGGCGGAAGCAGCACCTCCAGAGGAACGCCGCTATCCGGTGTGGGCGGTGACACGCGCAGCTCCGGCGAAGCTTTCAGGCTGAGCACGCGTTTCGGCTTGAGCGGCACTGAAGCTCGGTACGTGTGTGGGTTAATCAAAGCAGCAGCTGCTGATGCCGCTGCTGGTGGGGGTGGGGGTGGTGCGACTGTTATGTCGCTGGCAGTGCTGCTGCTCTGCACGGAGGCGGCCGATGCGCCGCTCAATATGTGATCCAGCAGCGATTCCGGTGAGGTGGAGCTGCCGCCTGTAATGCTGCTGCTACTGGGCTCACTGTTGCTGTCCGTGACGAGCGCATCCGCGTGCACGCCTAGCGTGCGTGAACGTCGGATGCAGCTGGTCAGCTCCATGGCGGGCAGTCGTGGCACTGTTTGGCCATTGCCCAGCACAGCCAAAAGCGGAGGCGCAATGCTAAAGCTGAACAGCTGCGGCGCCGACTTGCGACGCAGTACATCCAACTGCTGCTGCTGCGGATCTAGCTGCTGCTCTGTGGCTGCGCTTTGTAGCTTGATTTTGCTGGCGCTCAACTTGAGCTGCATTTTATCGGTTTGAGCAAATGTGGTGGCTGCTCCAGCTGCTGTTGGCATTGGAGTTGCCGCCAAATCGCCAGCTGTCAGCTGCATGCGCTCATACTCGATAAGATTGCTCTTCGAGCTGCGCTTGAACGTGAGTTTCGTCTGGCGCGTTGGCGAGTTGCACTGGCTTCTGCTCATGGGGAAACTGGGAGCTGGACACTGCTTATGCAATCAATGGATGAATTTTACAACATTTAATTTGCTCATGAGTGGATTCACTTGACAGCTGCGCGTTCCGTTTCCAACTGCTGTCTGGCAGTTGGAGCTGGCCAACGGGTCGTATGCTTAATCTAATTACTCGAACACAAAACAAATGCGAATGCGAATGCGAATTGGTTACAACTGTCACCGTCGTCTGACTGATTGCCAGTTGTGTTTTGCACTCGATTCGCTGTAGAATGGATATGTCAGGTCGGATTATTACAACACTCGCATCTGAATGGGTAATATTCAAAACCGATTGAATGATAGTGACAAATGCGAGTATTCATTTTAATAGCCTGTCAGAGTGGGAGATAAGTGGAAATGATTAAAATTGAAAAAACAAAACAAGCAAGGCCAACAAACTTAAGGACTACAAGATATTCAAAAAATTAGTCGACTTGATCAAGCTGTGATTATAGTCTAAGGAATGGACTAAAAAACCTACACGCTCACATTTTTTTTTTTATTCATTCTCATCTTATATTCCATTTTCTATTATTGATAGTAATGTTCAAGTAGTATATGCATATTGTATTAACGTCATGTTTTTTAATTCATCTCAAAGTCCACTTTACAATCTCCGGGAGAGTGCGTTATCAATCGGTGCATCATTTCTTGAATGTCGATCAACCTAACACCCACTCTTACTCTCTCGCTCTCTCGCTGACGTTCTGTAAAACTGTCAAAGCTTTTACGCAATTTTCAACTGTTGTTGCGCTCACCCATGGCTCTCACACACTCAAATGGCGGGGAGAGTGAGCTTTTGCGCGCTGGGCGCCCCCAAACCCAACGCACGCGCTGCGAGCCGGCCTCAGTGCAATTTGGGATTGGGCGACGTGCGTACGTTGTTAACGGTTGTTTTGTTTTTTTCGCGCGGCTCGTGAAATCGGTATCGGCATCGGTGCGAGTGACGCGTGTCTCGATTTTTTTTAACATTTAGCTTTTGAAAGAATCGCTCAGCAGCTGCACAGAACTTGCGGCCCGGCAACGTGAAACAACTTTCTATTTTGTTATTCGTTTTCGATGAATAATATTAATAACTGCTTTCGCTCTTATTTCAATGTTTTCTAAAGTGCCAAATTACATTCATATTTAACCAAATATTTATGTGTGCTAACATATGAAAGCGAAATCTATTTCATTGCACTGTGTTGAACTTTTGTGTTTTCTCGCTGTGTTCTGTTTTTCGTAAGTGACGCACATTTTGTTGTAGCGGCATATTGCGTGTGTGTCTGTGTGTGTGTGTGCGTGCCTGTTCTTTTTTTGTTTTGCTTTCGATTTTCTATTCTGCGGTAATCGGCAAAAAAAGGGGAACATCAACATGGAAGCGGTAAGCGTGACTTATTAGACCTGTCAAACATCTAGCTTAAGGTCTCCCCCCACTTATGCAAAACGATTGCGTCTATCAGTCTGAAGAGCGTCAGTTTCAAAGTTCAAATGCGATAAAGTTTTTGGGCGTTCTTTGCGCAAAGGGTTAAAGTCCCCCTGAAGCCTCTAGCCATAGGCCCAACGAGAGGCGTTAAACTGTTCTTGTGTTTATCAAAAAAAAAAAAAAAAAGAAGAAAAACGGAATTGAAATGATAAGTCTCATTGGTTTGCCAGCGGATTAGCGAGACTATAATATTTGTTGTTACGCATCATAAAACACATTTTTGCGTGCTGTTTTTAAGTAGAATAAATAAATACAATAAAAACTGCAATCGATTTCGATTACACAAAAATAAGAAAAAAAAACACTTTACCAGTGATTTCCCTAAGCGAAATTATAACGTCATTGTCGACTTCGAACAATTCTGTTCCCATTTGACATGACAGGTGGGAACAGTTCGGAGAGTGTTCTTGATTTGAAAGCAGGTTGTGTTTATTTGAAAACTGTTGTAAACATTTTTTTTACTAACTTAATAATAATCTTTATTAATACAAAATAATATGAAATTTAAAAAAAAAAATGTTCTAGAATTTGTTTGCGATTCATTTTTTTACTCAGTTTTTGGATATTTTCTTTCACCCTTTCTTTCCTATGATAAAAACTTAATAAATATAAAGATAATATATTTGAAAGTTTCTCAATTTGCTAAAATATATTCCATAGTTAAGTCGCTGCTTAGAAAAAATGTAATTTATTTGCGCCATTTGAGATAAAAAGAACTCATCAGACCATAAAAACAAATATCATATAATAAATATTTGATTACAGACGGATAACTATAGATTCGGCAACACGGACTATATCGTATTTCTGGGCATGATTGCTCTGTCCACAGGCACTGGCATATATTTTGGCTGCTTTAAGTGAGTGTCATACGTTCTCTCCCCTGGGGTTTTTTTTCGCTGATGTACCTATGCCTTCTAGAAAAACCAAAAAGTCCATTGAGGAAGTGGAGCCGACTTTGCCGAACGGCGCAGCGACGGCGACACGTAGACATGACTTTGGTTCGGAAAAGATGAGCGAATATCTGCTGGGATCGCGCAAATTGAAAGTCTTTCCTGTTGCCATGAGTCTGATAGCCAGGTGACAGACCTTTATATACAAATAGAAATATCTCTGGCAATGTGTAAACTTATCTCACTTCTCGTTTATCTACAGCTATGTATCCGGCGTCACCATACTTGGCACCACATCAGAGATATATAATTATGGCACACAATACTGGTTTATTGCCATAGCCATCATACTGCAAGGCATTGCTGTCTCCTATATCTATATACCGGTATTTACGGCCCTACAAGTCGGCTCCTCCTACGAGGTATGTATATCTATATCTTTAGCCAAATCATAAACTTAATGACTCCCGAGCAATTGGTAGTGTATAAAGAATGTTGGTAAACCCAATCACAGCACGAATGATAAGAGGGAAAACATTGAATTATAGCACTTATTGAATGTTATTTGACTGGGTTAATGTGCGGCAATATATGTAAGAAGGTTGAGGTTTATTTTAATACTTGATTAACATTTTGCAAGTGCACGCAATTAAACAGACCTTTGTCTGGGTTTTAAGAATTGAAGAGAAATAAATCGCATTTTTATATATATTCTCCTGCTCAACTCCTCGGCCCTTTAAAATCGATATTTTATTTGTAGAACGCCGGATTTATGTCCGCGAAATGATGTCGTTGCCCCCACGCAAATGTGTCGGGTTTCTGAATGTAGTTTATTTTTAAACAAGCTGGAAAGTTTTTGAATACATTGCATAATTTTGTTATTGTAATATCTTGTTGAGTATTTGAGTTATGTACTCCTTGAAAATCTGGTAAACTTTAAACGAATATATTTTTTGAATATAATATAAAATATAAAGTTTCTTTAACTCAATATTTAATTCCTATAGTCATATGTCTAAGACAATCATGAGATCCATTGAGTTTCACATCTTGTCGAACTTTTCACGTCAAATTTTTCCATTGGACTTTTTGCGATTTGTCATTGGCCTGAAACCTTATGTTGGCCAATTTGAAACCCAAGTAGAAATTGTAGCAAACATTTTAATTAAAGCAAAGACATCACAAAGTGTCGTTCCGTATTGGACTTTGCCCGCCCCACTTGTTGCCCATATGATTAATTTCAAATTAGATTCGCAGTTTTATGCCACTTGACAGTTGTTGTGGCGCGGTTGTAGAGTAGTAATTACTTTCCCAGTTGCTCAAAAACCATATACATATTGATTTTCATCTTACACAGAATGATGAATGAACACTTCAATTATAAGATCTATTGTGCTTATTAGCTCTGAAGGGTTGTAATTAGTTTTCGATTTAGCTTTGAATGATATATATGATGCTTCTTGCGACGAATCGCATCAGATCACATTGGAACAATCTGACGAAACTGAATTTATGTTTGAAAACCATTTTGATCTTTAGATAAAAGATGATCCTAGCCTTAGAAATCATTAATGAAATCTATTAGATTTATCATCTAGCTCCCATAAGGTTATTAGTTCTTTTATAAAGAATTTTTTGGCCTTTCAAGACCAAACTTACCAAATCGAACTTCCTTATACGTCCAAAATATAAGCAAGCATTTTTTTGAACATTGTTTAATTACATTCCATAGGAATCTTTCAAGCATTTTGTTGTGTGCCTAAGTAGAAGAAAAAACTAGGATAAATGATAATTTGTAATACCTATTTTTTAGCGAAAGTCTAGGTAAAATTTCAAATACGATTTCTACCAAAATAAAAAAAAAATATAAAGTCCATACTTAAATAAATTGAAATTATCTTAAGAAAAAAAATTAACTAAAACCAACATATAAGTCTAATAATAATTAGGCTAAGTGTTAAATCCATTTATCAAGTAGAGAGAGAAAATAAATACCTGTAGCTATAAAAATGTATAAGATCACAGTTCCGTAATTCGCTATGACGAAGGTAACTGAGAACGACTTTGATAACTCAAAGATTAATATCATAATTTTGATTACATTTTCAGTATCTGGAAATGCGCTTCCATTCGGTCATACGTAGCATAGCATCGTTCATGTTTATTTTGGATGAGGTGAGTGTATCTTTCGGGTCGTAGACTCTCTAATCGAATGCCTTTTCGTTTTCAGATACTATTTTTGCCATTTGTTGTATATGTGCCAGCCATAGCCTTGAATCAAGGTAACAATCTTTCAGGATCGCCATTTCCAGCGCATACTTTTAACTTCTCCGCTTTTGTCTCTACAGTCTCTGGCATCAATTTGCATGTAATATCATCGGTTATTGTTATCGTGTGCGTTTTCTATACCTTTGTGGGCGGCATTAAGGCTGTGGTGCACACGGACGCCTGGCAAACGTTGGTCATGTTTCTCTCGGTGCTGGCCGTCGCCGCCTTGGGCACCTACTATGCCAGCGGGCTGGACAAACTGTTTGATGATGCCGCCAAGGGCGGTCGCCTGATATTTACCAATACAAATCCATCGCCCTATGTGCGTCACACCATTTGGAGCGTGCTCATTGGTGGCTTCTCCTACTGGACCTCCTTCAATGCCGTCAATCAGACCATGGTGCAGCGTTATATGTCGCTGCCATCTCTGAAGCAGGCGCGTGCATCGATGGCCATATTTACGATTGGTGTGGCCGCCTTTGTTTCCGTTTGCTGCTATGTGGGTCTGCTGATCTTTGAGAAGTACCAGGACTGCGATCCGCTGAGTGCGGGCCTGATTACCCACGACGATCAGTTGCTGCCGCTGTATGTGGTCCAGAGCGTGGGGCATATACCCGGCATGGCGGGTCTGTTTATAGCGGGCATCTTTGGTGCCGCCTTGAGTTCACTTTCGGTGGTGCTCAATTCCACATCGCTGGTCATACTGGAGGACATTGTGCGCGGCTGCTTCAAGATGCAGCCCAGTGAACGCGCCTCCACTGTGCTGGTCAAGAGCACCATTATTGTGCTGGGCGTGCTGGCGCTGTCGTTGGTCTTTGTGCTGGAGAATTTGAGCGGCATATTGAGCATCTGCACCTCCATGACGGCCATTGCGGCGGGCACCACTTTTGGCCTCTTTACGCTGGGCATGCTCGTGCCTTGGGCCAATAACATAGGCACAGCCGTTGGTGGCATTGCCAGCGCCTTGCTAGCTGGTTGGATATCCTTTGGCACACAGTTTAGCATAGCGGCGGGTGAGCTCAACTCCCAGAAGCTGAACGTTTCCGTCGAGCACTGTACGACAAATGTGACGTTGCCCGACACTGTTTGGGTGGACGAGGAACTAGTGTTTCCACTGTATCGTTTATCCTATCACTGGATCAATCCCATTGGCGTGGCAACGGTTATAGTGGTGGGCTCCATTGTCTCACTGCTGACCAAGCCGACGGATGTGAAGACTCTCGATGCGGAGCTAATATCGCCAGTCCTGCACAGATTTTTGCCAAAGGAATGCTTTGCCGGACGTCAGCAAACGAACCTACTGAACCGCACATAAATACAAATGTATATATACCCTAAAACGGAATGGTTAGCAGAAAAGAAAAAAAAGAATTCCCAAACAATACGTTGTGGACAAGCTCTAATCGGAGACGCAGCTCCTACATTCTATAAGTTAGTTAAGCCTAACATAATCTTAGTCTAGTAAGTAGTACAAATTGCAGTTCGGTTTTATGAAATGGCGCGCACACACACAACGTGTAACATGGTACAGGAATTTATGAATCTGCATACACAAGTTGTTTGTTGTATTATTATTTATATATATACTTATGTAGCTTTATTGAAACTGTTTTTTTTTTGTTTGTTTGTTGAGTTCCAGTTAAAACGTATTACTTTGGCATTTTTGTTTGTTCTTGTTCAATTAGTCAGCATACTGTCTCTCAAAATGAGTGTATTCCGTGTGACTTAGCAAGCATTATGTCTGTGATAAAAAAATTAATAAATATACATATATGTATATATTTATATACTATATAAGAAGTTGCCATTGCCATTGCCATTGCTATTGATATGAAAAATGTTTATTGCAATTATTTTGTGAGCAAAAGCGCATATCCTAGCATATTATGCTACCTAAATTAGTTAAATTAAGCCCCTAATTTGGCCATGAATCACAAAATGATGAATACTTCGTACTACGTACTCCAGTTAAGGTTGTTTCTTCTGTTGCGACATCTCCTCCATCGCCTGTCCCCTGCTGCTCAAATACTTTCGCAGCTGGAAGGCAATTAGCACAAGGCATGCAACGCCTGCGCTCACATAGCTGTTGTAGACAAACTGCTGCGGCAACATTTTGCACCTGAACACCGCATAGTCATCCGGCGTAATTGTAGCCTAAAATATAAACAGTTAGGGATGATAAGAAAATCAAATGGAAACCGCACCGCTTACCAGCATAAAACTGGGATTGACATTGTTGCGCCAGCTGAACGAGGCCACCGTGTACTCATCAATGCCCAAGCGATTGATGTTGTGACAGAAGTAATGCGAGTGCCCGGCAAAGGCCAAACGCGGCTTCAGCAGCTCGCCCAGCATGTCTGTGGCGTCCTTGGAGAGCACATGATAGCGCTCGCGAAACGCTTCTATGTGTGGCGCATCGTGCTCCCGGCACACCTTGTCCGATATGCGATATGTGGGAAAGTGTTGCATAATTATGGGCTGACTATATGGATGGCGGCGAGTACGCGCGCATTCCGCCACATGCGGCTGCTGCATGCAGTGCAGCGTGCTCGATATATTCTTTAGCGCCGACTCCGCCTCCGTGCAGAACATGCAGCCGTCTGCCTCCATGGCCATCGAGTTGATAACCACAAAGTGTATTTGCTTGATGGTGTACAAATGCACCTTGGAGTAGTTGAGATAGTTTTCGAAGCGCGTCATAAAGAATGGATGCATTCTGCAGACCGGAAAATCTTGAATCTGATTTGGATTAACCACTTGGTCGTTACTCACTTGTAGTGGAAGCCGACGTCATGATTGCCGACCACACTGATAAGCGGTATGCCCGCAGGTAGATTAAACATCTGTAGATAACGCCAAACGTACTCCTGGAATTGCTTATCGCTAACCATGTCGCCCTCGTCGAACAGATCACCAAGGACAAAGACGACGTCCGGCTGCAGCAGCCTAGAGGCTGCCTGAAAGGAGCGTGTCATGTGCCATTCGCGGTAAAGCTTGTCCAGCCAGTGCCCGCGATGTGGGCCAAGCAAATGGGGATCGGCTATGACCATGGCTCGCAACGGATCATCCACATATTTCTTGCGCCGGATCTCTGGCCATTTGCATTTTTGCAGTACCACAAAATCGGCAACATATTCGCAAAAGATAAGCGCGCACAGTACAATCACAAAGCAAGCGTAAATCCAACGCATATTTAAATAAACTATAAATTAATTAACAGCCGGCGCAATAAACAAATGCAAAAAACGCAAATCCACGCCGTAGGGCTGCCATAAAATCGCGTTACGTAAACCAGGGCTGCCGAAAATTCGCGCGCTAGTTTTATTGCGCGAGCAAACAAATACATTTTCCAATATTTGCCAATTATTCCTCTCGACATTGGTGTGCTTCTTTTATTTTTAATTATATTTTTACTTAATATTTCAGTACCAGCTTAACACAGCGTTGTCCTTTTCGGAGTTTTACCTTTGCAAATTATTAAGTTCAAATTACCAGCAATACAATGTCTATCGAAAAATCGATAATCGATTCCCTTCGCGCCCAATGGCAATAGATTTGTTTTTGGGTCAGTTAACAAAATCCTTTTGCTAATTTATAGAAAAATCGCAGATTTTATTTGGTGCTATTGCCATATGTTGCATAATATCAAACATCAAATTCGAACACAGATATTTACTTGATTGGAATGCATTGCTTTAAAAGAGATCGTAAAAGTAATCCAAGCCTTGGCCCAGCTCCCAAATGGAGATTCCAACGCCCAGCTGCTGAGCCAGCTGGATGCGCTCATTGATGGAGTAAAGCGTTGGATAGAATACGATATGACGACCAGTTTCAGTTCTAAAAAATGCTCCTGGTAAGCTTTTTAAATATAAGCTACATTAGAGGCTACTCACTTGATCTCGAAGAAGTTCTCCACGTCGCGCTCATCATGGGTCAGCTGCTTCTTTACGTGCCTGACTAGCTCCAAGTACTGGCCGTATGTAATGGGCCCGCCGCCATCTGGCGTATAATCATTTCCATACATATTAAGTCCCATCAGGATTTTGGCACGCTTTGCCTCCATGTCGTGGCAGCCAACTGGCGCAATATGCTCCACGGCATTGCGTACCCAATAGAGCGGAGCATTGGCGCCCGGACGCTGCACGCTCGAGTAGTCGTAGGTCATTAGGGAGAAGGCATAGATATGCTTGTATAATTTATCCATGTGCTTTTCGCCAAACAAGTTTGGCATGTCCTTGCGTTTAGGCGGCACGACCAGTATCAGGCGTATTTGTTGCTTCTGCAGCTCCTTAGCTGCAAGAAAAAAGATTGGAATATGCAGGCATTCGTAAATGTTAGTCGATTATTTAAAGGCAAAGCGCACGCACCCATTTGTAGCACCAAGGTGAAGAGAATCTTATCATCAATCCTGCCGGCCAGTTGCGACCATACCTCCAAGATCAGGCCATCGAATCCATGCTGCTTGCACGTCTGGATCAGCATTTCGTTTAGGTTTGTGCGCTCCTTGGCATCGCTCAGCAGCAGCTTGATATCCCGATCGGTAAAGTGATCAAATATAACACGTGGAAATACTGCAATGTATACAGAATGCAACATTAGAGCAGCTGCAGCTACTTAAGGCAACAAGGATTTGTGCTTACCTTTGACCGTGCACAATTGATGCTGCTGCTGCACCTTGCCCTTGCGCCGCACATCATTTAGCCAGCCGGCGTCAATGTCGTGGGTGCCCGCTACGGCATAGTCGTCGCCCTGTTTGACTATTTGCAGCCAGACGGGGGAAATGATGTCAAACTTCTTGGCAAACATTTTAGCCACGTCGTAGCCATGGGAGTTCCACTGCAAATAAGGCGACAATTGGATGAGGGATTCATGTATATATTCATTTGTCTGCACTCACAGGTGTTACATAGCCCAGTATTGTGCCATTGAAGCGCCGCTTTCCTGTGTCCTTGTAGTACGCCTCGTGATGTATTAGTATGTCCTTCGCGAAAGGCTCCGCTGATACCAGGTCCAGCTCAAACACATCGTTGTCTTGCGGTCCACGCAAAAACTTTGATTCTCTGTGGTTATTTTTGGTTTTGGTGTTGGGCGACAGGGTGCACAGCGCGTACTGGCAGCTCAGCAGGATGCAGTAAATGATGTGCGCCTTGGTTGAGCGCATTTTACTAGCACCGATTAGGAACACCTGGCAGTTGCCTCAATTAAATACATTTATTTGCACAAAAGCAAAACACGTACCACACAGAGCCAAAACGCCGGCACAATTGTAATCGATAGCGATAGTAAAAATCGGAACGCTTGCGATAACATATGTGTTATGCGCCGTTCTCACTGCGCAGTCGCGTCCACAGAATGCAAAATGAACCAATACAGTTCAGTCAACTTGTTCAGCAGGATGCGAAATGAATCACTGTTCCAAATCCCATTTTGATTTAAAAAAAGGCGGCATTTTTTAAACGTATGCATGCATTTGTATACATATATAGTTATATTTAAAAGTGTACACTGTATAAATTAGGGGGGTTATCAACATAATGCTGTTTAGCTTAACATCAAAATTAAATTAAACTTAGTGCATAGACTAACAGAAAACTACATACAATCAAGTAGCCAAAACTAATTATCACTTTTAAAAAAATGAAAAAAATTGATTTAAAAAAAGTGTAAAATAATGAACATAGCGCTAGGGTATACATAATCGTATCGTATCATAATCATAATTGATAATCATAATCATTTGTTTTGCATATAGCATATTTTGTATAATGTATATGTGTGTATATGTATATGTATATTCAGACAAATACACGCATTAGATCGCTGCCCGTTGAGTTGCTGCCCGGCGTGGAGCTGTTGCTCTTCCATGGATTGCCGCTGACATTGCCGGCCCCACTGGCGCCGCCGCTGCCGCCGCCAACAGTTGCAGCTTGTATATTGCTGCTGTCGGACAACGTGCGCATCAGCTGTTTCTTCAGCAACTGTTGCTGCGGACTTGGACTACCAATGGCATTGTTGCTGCCGCCGTGCAGCTGCAGCGGTAAATGCATTGGACGCTGTCGCATAAATGATCGATTGCTGTTGCCGTTGTTTTTGCTAATTAGCGACTGTCGCTGATGACGCGCCGCCAGCAACTTGCGACGCTTCTCATAGAAACTATGCATGCGCTTGTTCTCCTCCTGCTGCTGCTGTTGCAACTGTTGCTGTTGTTGTTCGCTGGCTTCATTGTGTTCAGCCTTCTCCTTATCCTTCTCCCTATCCGCTGGCGGCTTCACCTTGACCGACAGCAGTTCGTTCAGGCGCTTGACCGTCATGCTGTTGCCAATGCTGCTGCTGCCCAGACGACTGAGCAGCGCACGCTTGTTGCATCTGAGCCGCTCTTGTGCAATAATGCTGCACTTTTGCGCATATATTGTCTTGCCTTGGCTGTTGCCATTGCGCGACAGCAGCAGCTGCTGTGTTCCATTGCCATTGCAGTTCAACGTTGGCGGTGGCGGCGGCGGACGAGCCAGTGTGCCGACAACACCGCTGCTGCCATTCAGCGAGAGCAGACTATTGTTCGCCTTGCGCGTCATTAGCAGATTCTTGCGCAGCGTGGCGCCCATGCCGTTGGGCAGCTTGACCAGACCGAAGGTGTTCATGGCCAGCGGACGTGGCGGGCCCGCATAAAGTGTCATATTAAAGTATGTTGAGTCCTCTAGATATTTGGCATTGGCCAGTTGGCGATGTGGCTGTGCTTGCAACACGCTCTCATAGCTGTTGTATGTGCTGCTGTTGTTGTTGGTGGCTTGTTGTTGTTGTGGCTGGTTTTCCAGCTTGACAGTCTTTATGTGGTTGGCTTCCGCGCTAACAGTCTCCAGTTTAGTAAAATCAAAATCGCTTAGTTCATCGATGAAATGATTGGCCACGCCCACGCCGACGCCCTCCGTTGCCGCCTGCAACACATTCACATTCACATTGACATTGACATTAACATCAACATTGTCGTAGCCCGCTTGGTTTAGGAATTCAGCTATGACCTGCTGCTGACTCTGCTGGTCCAGCACAGACACCTGATTATTATCGCTAATCTCATAGATAATACTTGGCAGCATCATGTGCTCATCGGCGCCCGCGGCTGCCACCTCGGGCGACTCAGCATCATCTGTCAGCGAGGGCACATTGTAGACGCTAAACTGTGCCGTTGCCGCTGCATTAAGCTGCTCCTGCTTCAATTGTTGCTGCTGCTGTTGTTGCTGCTGCTGCTGCTGATCCGCCTGCTCCAGCATTTGCTGCTGCTGATAGATGAGCTGCTGCAGCTGCATGGCATCCATGGCAGTTAGCTGCGTTTGCTCTCCATCCTGCTGTGGCTCCTCGCTGTACACCTGTGGCACCTGCTGCTGCTGCTGCTGTTGTTGCTGGTAGAGCGCTGTGGCATAGTCAGCGGCATCGGCATTGATGGTGCCATCATCATAACGCAATCGTTTCGTGATTGGCTCATGCTGCTCCGCCGGCAGCTGCTGTTGCTGCTGCTGCGGGTGCGGCTGCTGTTGTGACTGTGTTGTGTCCAGTGCGCTCTCATCGAAGGGTATGTCCGACTCGACGGTGCTTAGAATCTCATTGATAAACTTGCTGTCGAGCATGTCGTCCAGTGTCAGTGATATGGAATTATCATCGGATGTATTATGCATGGGCAGTGGTTCCTCCGTGACGGCCGATAAATCGACCTGATGTTGTCGTTGCAGCTGCTGCTGTGACTCCACATCCACCTGGCCAGTTATGGAGGAGACGGCCTGATCCAGCTCACTTAGCTGCTGTCCATAAAGTGGCGCCATTTGCTTCTCCTTGGCAGGTTTGCTGCGATGATGCGACGTTGTCTCAGCTGCTGCTGCTGCAGTTACCGATCCTTTCAGCTGCAAAAAGCAATCAGATGATTAGAAATCGAGTGCTTACCAAAATTGTTGTTCAATATTACAATTGTATTTAATTACTTTTATTGCACATATACATTATTTAATATAAATTTATATATATAGATTGTTAAAGATGCACTTCTTGGGCTGTTCAAATGGATATGTCGAGTCGAAGCCTGGCTAAAATATATATGGAGCTAAAGGCGCCTCAAAATTCGATTTGCACAGAGTATATATATGCTTTTAGAAAACTCTAAACATTTCTAATCATGTTAAATGAGATACAGGAACAAAAGTTTTCTTCGGCTTGCCGAAACTTAAATACCCTTACAGCGCTTGCATGCAAAACTCTTCCAACTTGCAAGAAAATTGTTTTCGAATTATTTCGAATACCGAAACACTTATTATTCCAATGGCAGATTTTTCAATATAATACTTTAGAAAGTTATGAATTTGTTTTAAGCAGGATTTGATTTTCAAGCAAAACCTGATATTGATATCTATCAACATTTTTCAAAATAAAAATTTTTAATCGAATACTTAAAAATACCTGAAATTATAAGTTTTTATAGGGCTATCTTAAGAAATATAAAGGAGTTTCAAAGAATCCTCAGCGAATAGTTGCTTTGAGAGCTATACGATATATATATATATATATATATATATATATATCAATCTGACGCTGATAAGATATAGTTGAAAGCCGGAGCTTAGATATCTTGAAAGACCAAAAATATATTCATCATGTTTTGCGATTGTTCCTATGTGATAATCAAAAAATAGATGAGATGTCTTCCTGAATGCGTTACATATGACATGACATAGTTATAATACCTACTGCAAGGGTATGCATTTTAAGGAGTATAGTAGACGTGTACACTACCTTCTTTTTACTTGGCTGCGTCTCGTCCAGCATGTTGGCTAGTTGGGCGGGCGCGGGGGAGTAGTTGACGGCATGCTCGTTGCCATTGCTAGCGACAGCCGCCAGCGTTGGCGTCGGCGGCAGCGAGCAGGACGAATTGGATGAGGATGAGAACACCGTTATGGGTGGCTGTACAGTTGGCTGTGGCGGCGCCTCATCCTTGACAGCGACTGGAACAGCTGCAGCTGCCGGGATTGAAGCTGGTGCGGCTGTTGCTATGGCACTGGCACTGCTCTTCTTGGAGCCCACCTTGTGATGCACATCCGAATGGTGGCGATTCTTGGACGACTTGGAACGCGAGCGACCTGTGCTGCTGCTGCCGCTGCTGCTGGTCTTTGAGGAACTGCTACTCTTGCTGCTGCTGCTTTTATGACGCGACGACGATGATGACGAGGCCGAGCTGCTGGAGGCGTGCGTGTTGCTGTTGTTATTGGCAGCGGCTAGCGAGCTGCTGGAGCCATTCGAGCAACTGGACATGGTCGCCGATAGCGTATCGGTGGGTGAGCCCAACAATTCCGCCGGCTCACGCAACCCATCCTGACTGTTCTCCGCCACAGCAGCAGCTGTTGCATTGGCACGCGCCTCCGTGCCGTTCAGCTTGTTGGGTATGGCATCCCAGATGTTGGGATGCTGTAGCGCAATATGATTATTGAAACCGGCTTTGGTGTAGCTGCCACTGCATGCATTGCACACAACAATGTCGCGTGTCGCCTGCTTGGGCACCATATCATAGTAAGCCATGTCCGCGGCATTCAGACGCTGCACCTGCACCACATGCGGCGCTTGTTTTGCTTCATTGCCAGCTGAGCCGGCGCTACCGCCGCTGCTGCTGTTGCTGTTGCTGTTGCCACCAGCTCTGCCGGCGCCACGCAAGTGCATCTTTTCGGCGGCGCGCAATTGTTTGATCATCTTGTCCAGGTCCAAAGCAGTTTGCCATTTTTGGCCCTGCATATTGGCCAGCGCCAGACTAGTTGCTGGCGCCAGCATGCTGCCCAACTGAGCAGCAGCGGCGGCGACGGTAGCACCGCCAGCAATGACGTCTGCCTTGGATGAGTTGGTCATGTTGCTGACAGCACCAGTTCCAGTTGTTGTTGCTGTTGTTGGTGGTGTTGTGGACGGCGGCGGCGGCGGCGCCTTAGCGTGCTTTGTTGTGCCGTTGCCGTGCTCCGTATAGATTAGTGCTGCGGCCACATCACTCATGGGCATGTTGGTTTCCTCTAGTTGCCTGGCAGTGAGAATGATCCGTGAGGCAATGGCAATGCAAGGTGGTAGCTGCTGGCGGCCAATGTTGATGAGGGTAAACAGAGTTAGCTTGGCGACGCGAGTGGCATTGTCTGCAAAAACAAAATACAAAAACAACACATATTAGAATTTAAATTTTCAGCTGCCTCACAAATTGTTGATCGCACAGTGCATTTGTAACTGTTCAGTGATTGCCAAACTGAGTGGCTGCACAATGTTGCGATACATGTTGCCTGGTCAAAACAGCTGAGCGCTGCTGTCAGACTGGTTAAAATGCAAACGCAGGCATCGGGTTGGCAGCCCTGGCGTTACCAACACAAATGCAATATATGCCATCCTGTTCGCACTTGTGCGCTAAACACACATACAACACTCACACACACTCACCCAACCACCAAAAAAAACAAAGCCCGTTTTAAAAACAATACACACAATAAATTATGAACTTTTTGCACTGCATTCAAACAATTACTTGAAATGTTCCGGTTTTGACTTACATGTGCGTTAACGTTAACACAATTCCATTGTGTTCACTCGGCTTGCTGTTTAGCCAATTTTCATTCGCCTTGCCGTCGCCAGAGTTGTCAAAGTGTTTCGCTTATCAATTTAATAGAAATCCGCATTTGCGTACAGATGCGATTGTTGCATATCTGCATTTGATAATTTGCTGCAAGAGTTGATTGATAGTATGCCGCCTGTTTAATTTAATTTTCAACTATAAAAAACCACTGAGCTCGGATAAATTTGTTGCTCAAAAGGGCAGCTGCACTGCAGCAGTAGTTCAGAAATCGATAGCTATTAATCGATAATAATGGCATGGAGGGCGCGTCATTTGAAAAAGACATAAACATATAAAATGTCGTTTGGTATGTAAAACATTCATTATCTGTTTTAAGGAGCGGCACTTTTAATAACTTTTTACTTAAATTCAAAACATAAGATATAAACAATGGAGTGTATTTTATAGCAGCCTCTGCGGACAAATGAACACAATGAACAAATCTCTTGGTTTTCAAATGAGTAAATGAGTTTGTTAGTCGTGTGCCTTAGCCCTGCTTGATTTGTTTCTGCTTCAGCAACTTAAACTCTGGCGCCCACACAATATTGTTAATGAATTCGCCCAGCAAGTAGCAGGCCAAACTCAAACCCACTAAGCCGCCGAACATTAAACAACGCAGCGGCACCGGCAAAACTTCAAGCAGTGGATAAACCCACTGACCGCTAAAATAGCGCACAATATTCACCCAGATGATGTAGAGTAGCATGAACGCCACGTTGCCGGTGACGCCGGCCAAGCGGCTGGGATAGCGGCGGAAGCAAGTAAACAAGTCCATGATGGCCAATAGCGCCACATTCGTATGAACCACATGATTCAGCCAGCTGCAAAAGGCAAAACTTGAAAACTGATTCGGATAAACACAAAATGGAAAATGGAAAACTTGCCTGGGAAAAATAGCGTCCAGGGCGGCGGGAAAGATGAGCTCACGATCCCATAGATAAATGACCCAGAAGGAAATGCACACATTATGCGCAATGGGAAATGCGAACGTGGCGAATATATAATCGCGCATCTGGCGCAGACAGGACTTTGGAGCCAGGGTCACGGTGTTGTTGCCGAAGACATCATTCAGCAGCGCCACGCTGTGATAAATGGCCTGCACGATGACATCGAGAAATGTCAGATACTTGAATTTGCCGCCCCAGCGCGTTTTCAGCTCCTCCTCATCATGCAGACCCTGCGGCCAGTGCAGTTTGAATAGATAATAGTATATCCCGTAACAGAATTGCGCCGCCGCCAGCAGGTGAACCAAAAAGCGCAGGTAACTAAATGCGCCGCTCGTGTAGGCATCGTTGCATGTCTCCAGTCGCGCGTTGGTGACTTGGGCGGCTTCTCTAGCAGCGTGTTGTTCGCGCAATTGTTTCTTGCTCTTGGCCATACTTTTTGAATAAAATAATTTACAATTTACAGTGGCGGCGTTTGCCGATGTGCAGCAGATGGAGCTGCCAGGGCTGCAGCAGAGCAACGTGTGTTATTGTTTACATTATGCATATAAGCTGCCTGTATGATACGACATTATATGAACGTTTGAAATATATGTAATTAACAATATTAATGCTAAAATGTCAAAAATACTAAAAATTGTTGACAGCCAATTGACGGTATATCCAAAAATTTATACATTTAATTGTCTTTTAAAAATACACTCACCAAATTAAAATATATGATACCTCTTAATGTCGTATCATACAGGCTTAACATTTTTAACAGAGTTTCGCTCTTCTAACTTAACAGCACATTAACAGTAACATTGCCAAACAGCTGTTGATTGTTTTGGTTATAAGAAAAAGAATTGCGCAAAATTTGTTGGCATGTGGAGAAAAATATTATTTAATGCACAAAATGTGCTCAAACAGCAACAACAAGTATGCGTAAAATATAATTATACTTTAAGTAAACTCTAAACAGGCCAGATTTTGCAGTTTAAGAGTCAAACTGTTCGCCAATTGGCAGCAAAGGCGGCGGCGCCAAAGCTGATGCAACTGGAGCAGCTGCACATCGAGGAAGCGATCAAGTTGGAGCCCGCTTTGGCCATTTACACGCCCGACATTTGGCAGCGTGCACACGAAACATTTCAGAATCATGGTCTGGAGACCGTTAGCTTTCTGCGCATCGTTACGGGCAATCCAGCTGTACTGAAACGCACACCGGAGCGCCTAATTAATAGTCTAGAGATTTGGCGCGCCTGTCAGTTTGGCGAGCACCTGTTGCACCTCCTGCTGACCAAGTACCCCGAGCTGCTGGACGTTAGCGATGCCCATCAGCTGCTCTCACTGAGCGCCTACCTGAAGAGTCGACTGACAAGCAATAAGAATGTGTGGAAGCTGCTAATGAATAGTCCGGATTTGTTGGCGCAGTCGGAACAGACCATAGAGCAGAAGTTAAATTATATGTTCGATATAATGCGCATCGAGGTGCCTGAAATAGTTAAATCCGCGGCGCTGTCGCTGCCTTTCGAGGAGCTGCGCTGTCGCCACACGTTTCTGTTGCGCTTGGGCCTCTTCAAGCCACGTGCATTGAAGGCGGATCCCAATGAGCCGACGACAAACAATCGTCTATATCAGATTACCGATACATCTGAGAAATCCTTCGCCACCAAAATATGCCACGTCACGCTGCCAGAATATGAGGCATTCAAAGAACTATTCGCCCGCGAGTTGGAGCGCAAGACCCGGAAACCCAAGGATGAAGATGAGTTTAGTGATGAAGAAGATGCTTAGTTTTCTAGTTACTACATTATATATAATACAGTTATTTAATTAATGATTGCCAGAGAATGTTAATTTTATTTTTAAAAAATTGCTGTTTAAATTTAAGATAAAATAGATTCATTTTGCTAGCCTGTTTATTGTAACAGCGTACCCTGCCTGAACATCGCTGTTAAGTCGGACAGCACGTTTACATGTGAATGGCAAACACTTCCTATATTGTCCGTGTGGGTGGCTCAGGGGGAGTTTTATTCAAAATTTAATTAAAATTATAAATATACTTTGCGGTGCCCGAAAACAATTGGAAATAAATTGGCAACAGGACTAGCCACATAAAAGTGGTCAACTGCCGACAGATGTCACAGTGCATATAGTTCAGCGGCAAATACACCCACAAAAAAACCCCGTCTTTTGCTTACGCATTGCCCGAAATCCATGACAGCATGTCCGGTAATCCATTTGATAGCGCCGATGAGGAGCCCAGCGCTAGCAGTGACGAGATATTGGAGGGGTTTCTGTGTCCTATTTGCCGTGCCGATTTGAAGTCCATCGATTTTTTAACCCAGCACTTTGCGCGCCAACATGCCGAGGAGGAGGATGCACTAAAGTCCGTCTTCAAGGATATATTTACCAAAGCCAAGAAAAAGATTCTGAACAATTTCGAGGATGAACGCAATCGTGCTGCGCCGCCAGCAGCCACGCCCTCTGCCAGCGGAACCAATGCAGCTGGTCCCAATGGAGCCAAAACGAGCAATGCGCGAACGCAGCTCAATGTCTACAACAATATGTCTAAGCAGAGTGCGGGCGCAGAGCGTTCCCATTTTGAGTACTTTCAAACGGTGCGTAATCCTCGGCTGGAGCGTTATGCCAGCGAGACGAATAAGCTGATCATAAGGCTGCATCGCCTGCTTAAGGATTTGCCCACGGATGCAGTGCAGCGCAAGCAGCACGAGCAACACACAGTGCCTTGGTTAGACGGCAGCTCCGTCAAGCTGTGCCCCAACTGCGCCAAGAGTTTTCACATAGCACGCCGACAACATCATTGTCGGCTCTGTGGCGGTATTATGTGCCACGACTGTTCCCGTTTCTTGCAGCTGGAGAATGCATGTAAGTCCTGGCATTGCCATGCTTCTCAATGCTACTGTATATACTGTAGATTTTGTTTTGTCCAGTGCAATTGGCCAGCTTGTCGACGACACGCGGCGAGCCTTTGCAACAGATGCAGCATCAGGAGTATCGCGCCATACGCCTCTGCCAGCATTGCTTGTGGCTGCTGGACACGCGTCAGGACATGCACGAGAGCCGCACTTGCCGGCCCTTAATGTCTCAGGTCTATGAGGAGATCAGGCAGCTACAGAAACAAGTGACACCCGATCTGGATATGTATCTAAAGATTGTCAACAGTCTGCACGAAGGTGAATCCATATTCACGATTGCGGATGCAGGCGCATTGCGCGGCAAGATTGGTCAGGTCGCTGAGAAAATTGATTTGCGCAGCAAACGCATTTTGACCATACACTCGGAACCGGGCAGCCGTGATGAGGCGCTGAAGAAAGCCATACGTTTGAGCTGCGTGCAGGCCATAAAGGAGCGCATGCTCTCACTGCCGCCGCTGCCGGACGAGGCGTATATACGCCGGATACAGGAGCGCAAGCGCATGGAAACCGAACAGCGCATTCTCACCGAACAGCGTATGGCCATGGAGGCCTACGAGCGCAACGGCTCGGCGGCCCAGTCTGGCGTTAGTCTGGAAAACCGCAGCTTTGCCCAGGGCGTAAGTTAATCACAAAGCAGCATCTCTTGCTTAACAATTATTGAATGCGACATAAATCCACAGACCATGTCCGTCTACTAGCTCCTCAGTTTCAAAGCATTTTCAAATTGAGTTTTCTGTCTTTCCAAAAATCTTGACTAACTAAGCAATTGCCCGATTTACTCTGGGCTTAGGGTATCTCCCAGTCGGGCATTACCGACTAGAGCACATTCGTTTATTTTTGCAGCCCGCGGACAACAGTTCTCACTCCATTTAATTAAAATTCTTTGCAGTCTGATTTGCAATCGTTAAACAACTGGTCGGCGCCGCAAGCATCCGCGACCATGTCGAGCGTGGACGATCCGCTGATTGAGCAAATCAACATAATTAAGGGGTATATTAAGCAGGCGCGTCAGGATCTGAATTTCGATGTGGTCGAGACGCTGGAGCTAAATCTGCGCGAGCTACAGCGCGAGGTCTACGAGCGGCAGAGGCAGTCGAGCAACAGCGCCACAACACCCCAGTTGGACAGCTAAACATGCAAATCTATATGAATATAGATGTGAACTATAATTATAGTTGCAATATATATGCATATGTGTTATATACATATATTATTTTTACATCCATTCCCGCTTTTGACTAAATAAATGTGCAAATGTTATTTGGCTTGCGTGTGTAATTTGTGCAGACGAACTTGTGCGTGCTACATATGAGAAATGCATTTCATTCTGGAGATTTCGAACTTAATGCCAGCATCAGTTTAGGACTTTAGACCCACAGCCGCAATCAGAGATTTCACTTTGGCTATGTAGGCGGTTCGGGCGTCGGCGTTGCTCATGCCCTTTAGCTTGTTCCAGGCCTCCCATTTGGACTTGCCCTTGAAGTCCAGGAAACCGGGCTTATCTGTGCAAATTGGCAACAATTGAATTTGAAAGGTTAAATGAATAACTTGAGGCCTCACCTGTATTGCAATCGCCCACATTGGCCTGCTTGAATAGGCCATACAGTTCCAGCAGATCGCTGTCGGCTGGGGTGCTGTTTAAGTTCTTGACATCCTCGGCGGCTTGGTTGAACTCCTGTCAACATGCAGTATGTTTTTTTTCTATTGTAAAATGTATATTTTATATGAATTTTCGCACATTTACCTGTAGTTCAGACATGATTAACTAGTTAATTTTCTATGTTACTGTTCATCTCTAAGAGCAGGCGATAGTTAACACGAGAAAGCACCACTGTTATTTAACAGCCTCAGGGCTGCCATCTGTTAACCAAAGAATAAAATTTAGAAAAAATATTTACCTAATATATTATTTAAATAGTGTCAACTAACTATAATGCTACTTTGAAATATGAATTCAACAATTTGAACACACAACCAGACGTTTGTCATTTATCAGCTTATAAAAAAGCTAGCTATGTTACTAAGCCGGCCGAGTGTGCAGCACTGCCTGTTAACAGTCGCTCTCCCAACGTTTACAGCAGCAGTTCTGTTTACAGCTGTTATTACGCGTCGAACTTGCATAGCGAACGGACGTATTTGCGCGTGGGCGTCTATTCACTAAAAAATCGAAATCAAAACGCAACTTAAAGAATTTAATAATAGCCTAAACATAAAAAATAGTGTGCGTAAATTAAATGCAAGTGCAGTGCGGCGCCGCACAATCGTGTTCGTTGCAATAAATAATTGCGGGCGCAATATCAAAGAGAAAGTGCCAACAAGAAAAGAAAAGAAAAGCGATTTGTTATTGCTAGAAATTTGTGTGTTGTGTTCTGTTCAGTGTTGTGTTGTTGCTGCTGTATCGGCGCGCCAGGCGCTGCTTATGCAAATGTGGTATGATTATAAATTTACCTAGCAACTAGTTTCCGAATCATAGCCATAGATTTATGTATGAACATACATATATACAGTCATATATAAATGAGTGTGTGCATGTGTTTATGTATTTAATTTTTAGGCCTTTGGGCTATGCTAATTGGCCAGCAACACGTAACTGTTATTTTTTTCTTGTTAGAATCTGGCTATTTTTTTTTTACATATATATTTTGTTGTTGTTTTTGCGTGCATCGATTCCTTTGCAGCGCTGCTGCCGGCGGCGTTGCCCGCTTTTCTATGATGCGATCAATTTGAAGACTAGCACGCTGCCCTTGTCATGTGTGTGTGTGTGTGTATGTGTATGTTTTTTTGTTGTTGTCTTGTGCGTTTTTCGTAGCTAAACAAATTTTTAGCTACCAGCAACAAGAATTGAAGTGCGAAAGGCAAACAAACAACAGCAGCAACGGCAAACAGCAACAACAGACAACAAAGCGGACTTTTGATTTTCTATTCATATGCGGCATTCCATGCCATTTCCCCTTCCCATTCACCTCTTCTTCCTTCCTGTCTGTGCGCCTGGGCCTCGTTTTCGTTTGCCGCTTTTGTTATTGTTCTTTTCGTTGTTGTTGTTTCGGTTTTATTTTTTTTTGGCTAGATTTTATCGAAAACTGAAGCGCGCACAGTATAAAGCGAGCCATTCATTATATTTTGTTTAAACAAAAGAATTATTTTGTTTTTTTCAGATGTTTATTAAGATTAGAAACGTATTTTTATTTTTTAAGCGTTGTATAGACTTTAAAATGTTCCCTTAGTTGTATTGGATATCTGTTATTTTCGATTGCATTTTCATATCTGGTTTTATTTTAAAAGTCTGTGTGCGGCTTTTTGAACAAGTTTTTGACTTTGATAACGGAAAGTTCAAGAGAAAATGTGAGGTTTAGGGAGACCCTTTAACTGAAGTCCTAGTTAGTAAGAAAGAGAGAGAAAGAGGAAGAGAGTGAGAAAGACGTAGCTTCACATATACGTACACACATATGTAAAGATAAAGAATTATGTAAAGCAAGCTAACGCTGTCATTAAAACGTTTAAGGATGCGACACAAAGCGGAATTGATAATAATAGAGCTAGCAGATGCGGCTTCTAATCGATATTCATTCCTCATTCAATGCTCCTCTTCCCTTCATAATCGCACTGCCTCTTTTCTCACTTTCCTTTTCAGCTGGTTTGTATATGCAGCTGTTGCTCTATTTATAATTTCATTAACACATTTCTACGCCATTTAACAACAGCATTCAGTTCATTTAATCTAGAACGCGTTTCGATAATACTTAAATGATCATGTTTAGCCGGCTAACTTTCATTTTTCTCTTTTGTACTTTTTGACCCAAGCATAGCCCCAACCCCTTGGCCCGATCATTGTCACTGGTTTTGATAAGCGCGAGTCTCCCCCCTCATCAATCAATCACTTCAACTTCTATTTGCGCCGATTAATGTTGACCCAGTCGTTGTCGCTTTTCCCCCTCATTAGTCACGGCCATTGCAAAGTGCTTTCCAGTAAAGTGTGCTGAGGGGGTGGGGGGTGGGGGGCAGACGCTTATCAGCTGCGTCGGCTTCTGCCACTTGAGCTGCACTTGGTAGCAGCTGCGCCTTCCTTTGAGCTGCAGCTGACAACGAGCCCACGGTCAGGTGTTGTTGTTCTTGCAATACCCCGTGCCAATTTTCGATGGTAAACACAGGGTATATTGAAGTTGTGACGAATGTTGTAAACGGCACCTTTGAGATTGTTAAGTGTAGACTTTCTTGGTAAGCATGAATACCATAGCCGAACCATTTTTAGAATTCCCTCCATATATCCAAAATAGATTGATTTTGATTTTATGCCTAGCTTTTTTTTTTTTACTTTATACTCTTAATTTGATATGTGGAATGTTTTACTCTTTGGATAAGTCAAACACCCCCAAAAAATGAGAAATTTTTAGATGCAGTTTCTTTTCTCGGATCATACCAAATACCAATTTGAATTCCAGATATTGTCAAACTCATTGAACAATAAACATAGAAGTTATATTACAAATGAAATGTTCATATTGCATGCTACAGGGTATTTTCGAGTCTCTCAACTAACGTACTTCTTCTTGTGGTTGCTGTTGACTTTTCTTGTGTCGAGTGGCAACTGCAGCTGATGTTCTTGGCCTTTGTAGACAGTCAGATATGGGGACAATATATTTTTGGAGCATTGCATAAGGTTCTGTTCTCAGTAAAAATCTATTTAATATATTGAAAATTGTTTTCGTTTAATTTTTTACTTATTTTTTTTGCCGTTCGATGATTCAGTTTTTCGAGGTTTTTGCATGTTGCGTTTTTCATTAGAACTTAATAAATGACGCATTCGGTTGACCCCGCCTGCCCCCTCTATAAACATTGCCCAGTCGCTTATCAAGCTAGGGTTGTATATTTTTGGCGATACTCTGTAGCACGGATATAGAGCTGCGATACTCTGTATTTCGGATAGATATTTAATATTCAACAGACCTGCATTTAAAGCTTATTCATCTATTTGTACAACTCAATAAAAGATAAGCCAAAACACTATATCGAATGTGATGCAATGGCATAGACACATTTAATCTAGAAATAAGCTATAAATATTTGTATATTGTGTATTAAACTTACCAACTCAAAAGATTATACAAATACGTATTTAATACGTTGTATGTGTACTTTGTAGTTGTGCAGTTGATAGCTACTTTTATATGAAAGAACTCTCTTAAACTGTTGAATCATTTTTATTTAAAGTACTCATTGCACATGTGCATTAAAAAGTATTTTTAATAAATTTAAATGCCATTAGTACATTAAGAAATTTATTGAGGCCACATAAGCGTATTTCTGAACAGAAATTAGATTCAATGCCTTGAAAATTTGTTGTTCTCAGTAGGCCGATGGAAAAATCAAATTTTGACCACGCTGTCAAAAGAAGAGTTTTCCAGATGTCAGTCAGCTCTCTTTCAGAAGGGAAACGATTTTATAAAAGAAGCGACTTCTTGTTAATAATAACTTTCAATTGATTGTAAAATAACATCGATTAAAATGGTTTTTAATGAGAGCGAACTGCCAATCCTGACCACAAACATGGCTGAAACAACAACAGCCGCTGCGATCGAAACAATCGAAACAGCAGCAATCCAAGCAGCTGAGGCTATCGAAGCAGATGCCAATCCGGAACCGTCGTCGGAACTGGACATCGTGATCAACAATGTCGTCTGCTCGTTCAGTGTGCGCTGCCATCTCAAGCTGCGCGAGATTGCGCTCCATGGCTCGAATGTGGAATATCGTCGGGAGAATGGCATGGTCACAATGCGTCTGCGTCGTCCGTATACGACGGCATCGATATGGTCCTCTGGCCGGATAACGTGTACGGGCGCCATTTCTGAGCCGCAGGCGAAGGTCGCGGCGCGGCGCTATGCCCGCAGCCTGGGCAAACTTGGATTTCCGGTGCATTTTCAGAACTTTCGCATTGTCAATGTGCTGGGCACCTGCAGCATGCCGTGGTCGATAAGGATCGTCAAGTTCTCGGAACGACATCGTGACAATGCTAGCTATGAGCCGGAACTGCATCCGGGTGTTACCTATAAAATGCGCGATCCCAAGGCCACCATGAAGATCTTCTCCACGGGCAGCATTACGGTGACCGCGGCCAGCGTGAATGCCGTCGAATCGGCCATACAGCGGCTTTATCCATTGGTCCATGAGTTCCGCACCAGGCCGATTGTCAAGTCGCCCGAATCGGAGTCAATGGCCAGCAGCGATCAGATTGCCGGAAAGTTAAAGTTCAAGAAAGAGAATGTTACCTTAAAACCGGGCCAAGTCAAGCGTCCACCCAACGTGGCTGGCATCCCCACGCCGATGACCAATGTCAAGTCCGGCATGCGGCGTGAGCAGCCGTCGCCACCGCCAAGGAATTCGGAAAGCAATGAGAATATTTGCGGCAATGCTCGCCGTCGTGCCACCGAATGTTGGGCCAGTAAGCTGCAAAAGAAACGTCCACGCTACAATGATCCCGGCTCCATGGCGATCGTCAATGTGGGCAACTTGGCCCGTTCGATCGAAAGCCACAACAAGATGCGCTGGAACGCGGCGAGTCTACCCAAAGTGGCGGGCAAGCTCACGGGGGAAGCCAGCAATCAGGACTTTGACACCGATCAGGATGGGGATGATTCTACCGAAGAAGTTGACGACGAGAAGTTCTGGTAGTGCTTGGAGCAGCGGGTGCTATGGACAATTAAATCGCAATCCTCTCTGCTTACTTGAAAACATTCCCTTGTGACTTCTCTAATCATATACAAAACAGTACAAATACTCGTAATATTCTATAAATAACATAAATGCAAAGCGTTGATTATATTAATTTGCATACTTTTAATATACCTAAGTTCGTTTGCCTTTAGGCATTCAAATGGTATTTTTCAAACAACGCCTTACTATGCGATTCTCATGAATTTAATTGACTTGCGCTTTGGTTAGTGTTTTCTCTTCCATTTACTAACAAACATTTATATGCATATATTAGTTGTGTCTGCTACAGCTTTCAAATTGCGTTTTTTTCACATCGCCTTACTATGCAATTCTCAAAAATTTATTTGATTACTGTTCTCCCTTTCCTTTATTGATAGAATTCATATAAATTTATATGCTACAGCATTCATATCGTATTTTTGAAACAAAGCCCCTCAATGCGATTCTCATGAATTTAATTAATCGGTTTTTAGGGCATGTACCTTCTTCCTTAAACTAAACAAATTCTTGGATGAGCACATTTTCATATATATTTATATGCATAAGTCAGAGATGTCTACTACGGCAATTCAGAGGAGGACACGTGCCACATGCTAGCTTATATGTTAATGTTTTCGTGCACATTTTTATGGTTCTTATTGGATCCATTTTGTTTAAATAAACATTCTTTTGTGTACAAGTCGATTGTTTACCGTATCAAAGCTTGCAGTTGCCTAATTAATAGGGCATTGACAGCATCCACAGCTACATTAAATGAGTTTTTGCTCTAGTTTAAAAAAAAATGTGTTTTAATTAGCGGTAATTAGCTTTCGCCTAATAAGCTTTTTATTCGATTAGTATTGTGTTTGTGCAGAGTTTCGAATTTCACGGCTTTTCAATCAATCTATATTATTGAAATTGATTTGCGGCAATTTAATTGATAGTATTTCATATCTATATTTCATAATGCCAGATGAGACCAAAAAGCGTTATCATATCGGGTGACTTTTCACATTTTGTTTCATTTATCACAGTTTTTATGCGCTTAACCCATTAAAAAACGGCTAAGAGGGTAGGTTGGTTTTGTGCAAATGTATGTAACAGGCAGGAAGCATCACCGACCTCATAAGGTGTATATAATCTTGATCGGGATATGGAGTTAAGTTGATCGCTGTGCGCTTCTGTCTTTCCGTCTACAAGCAAAGCTTGAGAAATTAAATTTGATAAATATACGAGTTTAAATCGAGTTAATATCGATTAAAATCGACCTTGAGGCTGGCTATATCTGTCCTTGAAGAATGTTTCACTGTACGGATAGCCCTGCCTAAAGGATAGCCAGGTCAAAATATACGTCTCTTTAAAGCTAGAGCCTTGCCCCTTGGCATTTACCTAGCTAGAATGTTTGTGAAGTTATCTCAGCACTGGATTCAGGGTATCTTCTAGTCGAACACTCTTGTTTTTTATTGTAGTTTTGTTTCCCGCCTGCAGCCAAAGCAACAAAATGTACTTGCACTTTGTTTGGCCCAACTGCCTCGTTTCGGCCCAAAAGTGTTTTCGCTGTCAGCGTTAAAAGTCATTTACCACCCACTCACCCTCCTCCCCCTCTCGACACAGCCCCATCAGCTGGCCAAAAAGTTGGCAATTCAAAAAGTGTAGCTTTTATTGGCCAGAACCAGAAACATTCTGCCCAGCCCATTGAGGCGTGCGCCTAAAAAAGCGCCCTCAACATTACGTGGTTCACCCAAACACCCCAACACCCCCACACACACAAACACATTGAGCTTGATATTGATATACGATATACTATATACGTTATACGATATACGTATAATAGCTAGATAGATAGTTTTGGGCACGGCTTGGAGGGTAACCGCATTTATAAAACTGCAACAGCTGCATTTATTTTTCAGTTTGTTTGTTGTCATTGATGCCGCTGCTTTTATGATACTCTACACAAAGGGTATTATACTTTTTGACACAAAGCCAGACATTTAAGAACCAATGAGCTTTATCCAGATGAGCAAGGCTAGCTGTGGTTATATAGTGTTTTATATTTTTCGATCAATTTTAGTTGGCTTTAATAACGCTTGGTATCTTTTGTAGTTAGTCTAAAGTCTTAGCATAAAAGTAAGGTGGAGATTAATGGGTTCTGTATGGATCTCTATAGCATAACGCCCGCAACTATACATATAATGGGGCTTCAAAACTTTATATATATTAATTTTCTGACTGTGGGCAGTTAACATTTGTGTAGCAGCCCAATAGGAGCTACTAGAGTGAAAAGCATTTGTGCACTAGGGTATTTCATATTCGGCTTTCCAAACGTAGCTGTTCGCCCAGGTCCTTCTGGGTGTATCAGTGCTGCATTTTCAATCGAATGCAACATATTTGATTTTCAATTTTTACATAGAGCGAGAGCTGGTTGCGGACCGCATGAGAAATATTTGAAAATCAATTCGCATTCGTTGTGCACAGCTTGACAAATGTTTTCCATTTCAGTTCAGTGCAAGAGCTGAACTTGTTTAGGGGGTTATATTCATGGTGAGACTTTGCCTAAATAGGCCCTTATATGTTTTGACATCTATTTGAAGCAATTGAACTAGTTCTCAAACTAGTAAGAAAATTAATCAGAAAAATGAATTGAACATATTTCTCGTATAATATAAATAAATACTTGAACTAGTTCCCAAAAAAAAAATAAGTGAGATGAAATTCGAATTTATGATCTTTTTTCCTTTAAATAAACTTCAACTTGAACCAGTTCTGAAAACAATCTGAATTATTGAGGAGAATGAATAAGAAAGTTTAATTCTAATTTGGAAACATTTTCCCCTAAAAAATGATAAAAAAAAACTTTAACTTGAACCAGTTCAAAAAACAAACACCATTTTATAAGAATATTCATCAAAAAGTTAAATTCCAATTTGAAGCATATTTTCCTGAAAATGAAAATAAATAATACATTTAAGCTATATATTTTCTATTTTATTTTATTTAAATGGCATCTGTTTAAAATGATGTCGCAAATGTTTAATTACAAATTGCATTTAACTAGTTCCACCTGCGACTGGCCTTGAACCAGTTCCGTTAAGGCTGAATAAGAGAAGCGCCTAAAAATAATTAAGTGAATCTATTTCCTGGCTTATCGACAGCTGCACCTGCGGCCTCACCTGGCCCCGTTGTCATATTGGGCGTGTCCTCACATCATTCTTGACCAGGCAGCTACCTGCCCAAGTTCAGCCCATGAGGCAGCAGCTGCTGCGTTGGCCCTATTTAGCTACCTGTGTTCTTTGGGTTTTCGTTTTACATAGAGCTGGAAAAAAGATAAAAACTTTTTGAAAGAATATAATTCAACAGATGCGTCAGGTTTAAAAACTAAACGAATTCCTCAACATTCTCAGCGTTTGTTTCAGTTGCGTCATCGCTGGCGGAAATGTCTATATGTATTGTACATAAAGTATCTAGATATATATGCGTGTACTTTTATGTGCGCTATGCCGAAAATGTTCAAGTCTGGTTTTCTAAAGGTTCTTTGTTTTTTGTTTTTGCTTTTTAGTCATTGTTTTTTTTTTCGTTTTTTGCCGGCCTCTCGCAAAACTCGTTCTCAAAAATGTTCTATTACAAAGTCAACTTTTATCTATATGTTCATTGTACAGACACACACACACATATATATATATATACTAGTGTGTATATTTTGGTTTTATTTAGTTTTAGTTTTATGGCATCCACGCTGCTAAATTGTTTTAATTAAGTGCCAAATTTATCGCATGGATCATTTTTTTTTATTTAAATTTATATTAAAATTAATTTTTTGCGACTATTTTAAGATCTGGTCGACGTCTTATCGTCACAGTCTGAATGTCTAAATGTGCGCTAGTCTTAAGCTCTATAGATATATGATTTTTCATATATATATACATATATCTGGGACGTATATTATCTGAGAGAACGTGAGAGTATTCTAAACTCTACAAATGGGTAGACAGGGTATAATGCTTTCGTGCAAATGCATGTAACGGGGAGAAGGAGGCATCATCGAGCCCAGTAAGTATATATATTCTTGGTCAGTCTATCCGTTCGTCTTTCCGTTAAAAGCTAGGGACTTGAATGTTGCTTTTTCTAGTGGCCGCGCAGTGCTAGTTTGTTGTCCGATAATTGATAACTTGTCCCGTTTCCAAACAATCGATAAAAATCGATATCGAAATCGTGTTTATTTTAAGCAAATAAGAGCTAGAAACACAAAACTTGACATGTTGTAGCTTCTAAAATAGTACAAACAGATCAAGTATCTTTCCTCTTAAAGTAATCCCATCCCACCACAAGCGCGAGCTACATTTGATGGGAGTGTAAGAAGTTGCAGGGTATCCCGTAGTCGGGCATCCCCTGGCACCATATTTGGTGACGCCCCAATGCGTTTGCTCACTGCAAATATTTGTTTTTGTACTTGATTATATTTACATATTGTGCATATTGTTGGCCCTATAATCAGTGTATATGTTCTCGATATGTCTGAGAAGTGGGCCCAAGTGGCCTCAATAACGCTTTGACTGCCTTTGTCACGCTTTGATGCCGCGCAACAGTTTGCAAACTTATAAGAAATGCACCAAAATATAGGGGAATTTTTATATATTTATATATCAAGTATTCACGATAAGCGTATTTGTATAATTTTTGAATAGCACTCGGTTTTGTTATATTTTAAACTCATTTATTTAAACATTCAGTTGGGAAAGCAGCCAGAAATAAGACTAAGAAGTTGAGTAATTGTTGAGGTAGATCCCAAAGAAATTTGACTACTATTTTGTTGAGCAAAATATTATTGATTTGTTGAAGTCTTTGAAGTAAAATTATAAATAAACTATAAAAATAATATTATATTATATCCAACAAATAATTGTATTTGATTCGTTTCATGGTTCGAATCACTTTCTTTTCCCTAAGTTTTATTCGTAAAGCTGATTTTTTACATCCGTGAATGCAAGTTTTCCTTTTGTACCTGCGCTCTTTAGAGATTTATGTGCAAGAATTAAGTTTATTATTAAACCATTATTATATTTAGATATAGAAGATATAATTCACAATAGCATGGAAAATTGTTATTTTCTATTTAAATGTAGTTCTGTTCGTGCTTAGATTTAGCTGTCTTTGAAGTAGGATAAAAAAAATTTTTGGACTTAGAGTTCGAACCGGTAAGGTTCAAACCCATGTTGAGGCATTTGACTTATAACAATTAGTTTCTTTTCCAATCAGCTTAATTGTGACTTTGAAACTTATTGCAAATTTGATCAAGCTCAAAGAAGCGTCTACTTATTGATTTTGTTCAAAGTCGAGTTTCGGAAAATTAGAAATTCCTATATTTTTGAATTGTTCTTCAGTCTTATAATGCCCAGCTTACCCTTGCTATGTAAACACATTACACAAATAATAACTCGAGGCGTATTTAACTGAAACCAATTTGAATTTATTATCCAACACTCAACTCAATTGCGAGTCGCCTCAAGTCGGATCCGTGTGATACTCGGTCCACACAAAATCGCTATCAGCGCTTTTACAGCAAGACATTTTCTTCCGCCTCTTTGCCCTGCTATTTCCCTGTTTTCTCCTCTCATTAGCATCTTCATTTCCATGTCTGGCGGCCACTTGAACTTTGCCTGGGCGTTGGCAACTTGTAATAATATTTGCAATTGGAATTTAATGCACTTGACAAAGCTCTTGCAGTGCGCCCTTTAAAGTGCCCTATAAAAAAAATGTACACACACCCACCCTATTTTATAGGTGGCGCCATCTAGTAGCAGTTACTATCACCCAAGTACCAATCGGACCGATCCGCGTGTCTACTCGCCATTAATTTCACATTAATTACCAACGTCATAGACTGGCGCGCTTTGGTTTTTCATATGTCCTGTACCAAGCATGTTGCGAGTATGTGAGGCAGATGTGAGGGTGCGTAACAGTCTTTGAAATGTTTCAAACAATAACATTCAAGAATTGTGTAAATTAACATTTGCATTTTATGTTAAGCTACATTTGAATATTATGTTAAAACGGTGTATATTATGTTTTGACTAATTTAGCTTAGTCTTGAGTTAAATGTTATTTAATTGATTTTTACTAATGTAATCGAATATTTTTTAACATATTTATGCTTTGTTATGTTTAGTTTAACATCTGTTGCTGTGTCAAATGTTATGCTACACATAACATTTTTATGTTAATTCGATTGCATGATTAAAATTTATATAATTAAGAATTTCTAAGAGACTAGAGGAGACATTTTAAGCTCAATATGAGAACTCTTTATTGAAAAGTCCTTAGTTAACATTCTAGAACCTTTAGAACACCAGCTAAAGCAGGGTATTCTGTGTTCTAACATAAATTCAACCTCTTTTTTTTGTGATTTTACGAGTGAAAAGCCGTCGTAATCTATGGATTATTGTCCAGCTGATGGTACAGTTTGAGAGCGCCTTTGGACTATTTTTAGTACGCTTTTTTTCTTTTTGCAATTCTGTATTCCCTGTTAACTGCGACTATGTTGATGCAGGGCGTCCGCCAATAGGCGGGTTTGGAACTGACATGTCACGCGTTTTGGTTTTTAATCTACTTTGGCCTGGTGACGTCATGTTTGCCATGCCAATGGCTCTCTGCAATGATTGTCAATGTCAATACACAGCCATGGTTAACCCCTTGTCGCCAGAGGGAGAGCTTGCACTTGTCTACCAGACTGTGGACTTAAAAACTTTTGTCCAAACAACTTGACAACACGCAATGAACACAACAACAAACGAGAAATTCCTTTTAAATAAAATAACAACAATATTGTAACCACATTCTTCACTGAGCAAGCAATTTTCTTGGCAATTAAATAAAACTGAGAAGCAGCGAAAAAAAGAAAAAAAAGAACAAAACTATAAAAAGAAATAATATTTTCCTGTTCTTTTTTTTCAAGAGGTCAGCGGCAGTTCAAAGTGTCACGAAATGCTCCACTTTGATATCGACACATTCATTTTATTTAATTTTTGGTTGGGTTAATTTAATTATAAAAGCAACGCGAGAATCGCCATAAAACTGGGTGAAAATGTGCTCGATAAATCTCGTGAAGGACCCATTAATTGTCGTGCAAGTGCATGTGGGTTGAGCTGGACTAGATTTGGGTCAGCTGTTGTGGTCTTATGTCCATCTGTTCCACCAACCGACCAACAACAATGCATTCTTGAACGCTTCATATTACGTATACGTAAATTTCACTTGGGAAATTAATTTCAAAGTGGTTACGCCTGCCAATGCCACAAGAGGAGGGCTTAGCGGGGCCAACTAAAGGTCCAGCAAGCTGGCTTCAGTTAAACTGACAGACGATGGAACGAACGGCTGGACGGGCGTATAAACTGCATATCGCTATACCTGCTCTTGGCCTACATTGATATTTTTGACCAACACCCGCCCAGTCCGCACAGTGGAGCAGTTTGCAAAAATACGGAATAAAATCGCCAAGCATTTTATTGTCAAAGAAAATGTATGTTTTCGTGTTGCAAAACATATTTTGATTTAGTTTTTAAATTGATTAATTGTATTATAGTTTTTATTTGAAATTTTTTTGAGAATTTCGCATGCTCTATTGTCAAATTTTCAAAAAGTATTAGTTTAAAAAGTATATACTTTAAGAAGAAAGTTCTTTTGTTTTTTCTCATTTATATATTGTAGTATTTATCAGCTTCAAATAGTCTCTTATCAAATAGTTTAATCGTTTAATCTATTCTCGCTTAAAATCTGCAAATTTTTGGCTAGTTTTTAACGCACACAGCCCACTGTAAATGCTTAAATGCTCTCAGTAGCAGCACATAAATTTGCAGTGCCTGTCACTGTGCTGGTTGTGAGGTGCGCAGCTGTCCTGCAGTTTGGTGGCACAGCATGATGATAGAGGTGGAGGGGCGGGGTGTATTGGGCGGGGGGACTGTCAGCGTATATTACACATAAGACATGTGTTGCGCTTTGGCTGTTGATGTTGCTCTGACCCATTAGGAGGTCCACGTAACGCCATTGACAAACAATTTGGCTGATGCACATGGACAAACCCTCGACGCGATTCGAGTCCATTTTCATGGCTTGTTTATTGCAGGTGGTTGGCACGTGTTGAGCGCAGTTTTTGGCTCCTTTTTGTTTCCACATAGACCATATATACAGTATATATGTATATACTTTTTAATTTAATAAAAAGGACACGTACAGGACACGCATGCTAACTGGCGACTCTTCACAATTTCGCAATTACTATGCTCAGTTAAATGTCAGTAATTTAATGTGACCTAATAGTTGGTCAACTGACAAATGTCATGGAAATGGGCGACTTGTCTGAGGCGGGGCCTGTACGCACCTGACGTAATTTCATTGCATACCTTTTTCTTGATGTCATCAACTTTTTGGTCTGCCATAAAGTATTGTCAGTTTATGTGGAATTTTGAGGCTAATTTCCATTTGAGTTTTTCTTTTTTAGCGGAAAATACGCACTTACCCATCTCCCATAAGCACTTATCCTACATATATCATTGGGCTGGTCAGCCAAACTGTTATTTTTACTGCTCGTACATATTCTTGTGACACTGACACGCAACAGTTTTTCTTACTGTTCTCCAAAGTTGAGGTATGTGACAATGACAGCCAACTGTCAAATGAGTGTCAACCAGACGTTTGGCCTATGGATTATGGCCTGACATTAACATGAAACCAGCCGTTGGAAGTAACTCAATCTACCAAATGGGTATGTCAACAGGTTAAAACTAGCAAAAGAGAGGGTAAGCAACGTAGAAAGAACTAGAGAAAGAGAGAGTACATAATCATATAATAGCAGGATATAAATTAGCTTATTATATAACTTTTTTAGCATTATGATAATGCGTTTTCAAGACAAAGTGCAGAAAACAAGCTTTAATTAGTCAGACAATACGAGTTTTTACTATACTAGATGAAAATGAGGCATGTCAGCTAGAAATAAAAAATACCATAAATACATATAGTTTACTTTTAATTATTATTATTCATTATTTATACACAAATTGTAGTAAAAGATGTCTCTTGCTTCGAACTGCTTTACACGGACCGTTAAACATATTATGTTATGTTAACTTGAGCAGCTGTTTGTAGCAGACATTCTTTTATTAACATTTCCCTAAAATTATAGTTTTATGTAAACAAATATCCAATGCTTTAAGATAATTCTATAAAAAAAACTATATTTAAAGTGAAAATTTTGACTTCTTATGTATTAAAATGTAAAAAGGTGAAAGGGAGAATGGAGTGAAGGAAATTAGAACTTATGGAATAGAAGCTTATAAAAAAGATAACAAAGATCAATACAGTGTTCGCTCGCAAATGAGAACGTCTCGGTTTTGAGTTTCTTTTTTTAAATTTTATTCTCTTGCGCTAAATAGTATAAATAAAAATAAACCACTTTTCACACACAGCATTTGTTGCACATTTCATTGGAAAATCAAATGCTAATTGCCCCAACGAGACGTTAAATTTTGCGGACACTTTTTCCAAGTATTGCAGTTGGAGGCTATGCACATCAAGTATACGACATGTGGGACGCGCTGCGACCAACAGCAGCTGCTTGGCATTTGACTAAACAAATGTAAATGTTGATTTCAAGTGCTATAACAATATGCTTGCCATTTATTGCATGCCACAAAATGCAACATGAACATTAACATTTCGTTGGGAGGCAAACAAACACAATGTTGCCAATGAAATGTCCAATGTAAAATGTGTGCCAAGTAAACTTAAACGTAAGACAAAGAAACAAAAGGCAATGTAAACGAATACAAACAAGTAATAATGCGCTGCGCGAAAGTGCACGACTTGGAAATACCCTCATCCCTTTGATTGACAAGAATTTTGTTACCTCTCAGACTATGATTGCTTTCTTTTGAGTGCAGCTAATCGAACTGATCATACCCCTTTGACTGCATCTTAGTGCGTACAGGGTATACAAATGGCTACTTGTATTTCTGAGCAAAAACGCAACATAAATAAACAATATAATTGAAATTGAAATCGAAATAGCAACAGGCCAAACGTCATTTTGCTAGCCTCAAAGCTGATAGGCTGGCATCTGCCAGCTGCCAAAACAATATCCCACACAGAATCTACATTCATATCTATACATCTATATATATGCATATATCTATTTGATATGCCAATACGATGCGTGCACAGCAAATGAATTGCTGGCAAATGGCACGCATCAAGTCTGGCATCAGCTTGGCATTTCATATTCAATTCCCTGGCAGGGTTGAGTGCGGGGTCGGTGGGTTGGTGTGTGTGGAGGCAGGGAGGGAGGGGGAAATTGGGGCCATTGTTATGATAACAAAGCAAAGCGACATTACGGCTCCCGCCGCATTCAATGTCTGTGTCAATGCGCAACACGTGCCCCAGAGCCCCAGACGAAGTTCGCCCACAGCCACACCCATTCGATACGATGAGAGGCGCCAACTGCGGCTCCCATTCCAAACAATCGTGGATGCCAAAGTCTCAGATGTTCAGCGTATTATTCAGCTGCGATGATGCAATAAACCGGTTTAACACTCATACAGCTATTTTATTATTAATTTGGGTTAAAAATTATGATCTACCGATGTTAACAAATTCTTAACCAGAAGAAAACTAATATTTTATACGTTTTTATAGTATCTGTGAGATCTAACAAATCTATGCTGAGAAATATATATATTGACAACTTCATATAGTATATATATGTGTATTTATAAATTATTTGTGTTTCGCTGGAAATATAACCCATTTTGTTCTTTTATCAAACATTCATTTATAGCAAGACTTTTTTGGATTCTGGAACGCACATTCTAGGAATGTAAACATTTGGGGTTCAATCTTTTATCGAAAAGTTATTTGATTAAGTGTTTCATAAATCATGGATCATCAAATGGATTTTGATTACCTAAAAAAACTTGTATACATCTATGCTAAAAACTTATGTCTATGGGTTCAGAAAACCTAGGTTTTTCGAAGCAAAGAAAAAAACAAACAAGAACGTCTTACCCGACTGAGCAATGCTCTGTTTGCAGGATAAGCGATTCTTTTTGGGATTATTTAATAAAAGAACTGCAAATGAACAGATTTTGGTTGAGTGTGATAGAAATATTTCAGTCCGATCTTCAAAAGATCGAGTAATATACTGTATATATATTGTCCTCAGTTATATATTTGTTGTATTATACTTGCCTTATTGGACGGCAGCTATCATCCAAAGTGGATGATATATACGTATATATATACATACATATTATAATAGTATTATAAAATACATATTATAATACATATTATGTATTTTAGCAGCCCGAATGGGCCTATATCTGACGCAGCTGCTATTTTAGAATTATTTATAAGCCCATTATATAGCAAAAAAATATGTTTATTCATTTACTTAGCTAATATTTCAATTCATTATATATTTTATGCAATATTTGTTGGAATGATAATGTTTACACTGCTCTCTTAAAGGATGCCTAAAATCAACAGGTGTTAAATTTCCAGCCACAATCATCAGAGCATACATATTTACCATACATACTGTTATTTCTAAAGTTTACTCATGTTTACTTTAATGGCACTATTATGGCTAGTATTTTGTCTGAGTGCTTCAAGTTACTTGCTCGTTGGGTAATACCCATTTGTATACACTTACTTATGGCTGCCAGTGTGCATTAAGTAGCCCTATCTGCCGCACCCTCGTGCTCACATTATTGTGCCATTAGGCATCTGCTTGGGCGGCCATCTACTGCTAAACTACATTTTCATGTGCCTACTACTATTTTTATAGCCTACTTTTTTCGTCTAGCCGTTGTCTGTTTATCTAAAAAGGCGCGGGTGGCGGTAGCGGCAACACTTGAGCTTTGCCGGTCTCTCTTTATCTCTTCCGCTCTCATTGTGTTGGGTGTGTATGCCTGTGTGTTTGTGTGCACTCAAATTTTTTGCTCTCTTATTAGCACATATTATGTTGATGTGTTTGAATGGGAAGCGTCGACATTGACGTCGGCAGCGGCGGAGGCATGTAAGGCACATACGCGCACACATTCATATACACACATGTACGCTTTTGAGAAGCTTTTTTGTTGCTGTTTTTTTTTCTTTCCAATCTTTTCATTAAATGAAAAATTAAAATGTTTCGCACATGCTTAATAACGTTATATTTTTTGTTTTTAGTTTTCATTGTTGTTCTGGTGAGGGTAAAATTATTCATTATTGTTCGCATTGTTCATAGTTTTTTTTTAATGCTGTAGTTAATTTAGCTCTTCCCATTTTTAAATTCCCAGCAAAGTGACGTCACGAACATAATTAAATCTTCAAATTGATTTTGTATTTTTTTTTTATCATTTTGAATGTTGATGTACAGCTTTATTATTTGTTGTATTAAAAGAATTTTATTTAACAGAGACTTGCAATTTAAATATCTTCTGATAAAACTAACTTTATTCTTATACTATTATAGATACTGGAATTTCAAACCACTTTTTTGACGTTTTCTCAGTTCAAGGCTCATTTATCATTCCGTAATCATAGTATTTGTCTATTGGCATTATGAAAACATTTCCTAGCCCACTTGATGAGCTTCTGATTTGTTCGATTTCCTTGGAAGTCGACAATTTTGCTTGACATTATCGTAAGCGCATGCAAATAAATGCCACATAATGTTGTACATTGAATGTCAATTACACGTTTCGCTTAGGGCAGGCGTGTAGATCCTGTGTGTGTGTGTGTGTGTGTCCTGTGAAATGGCGCACAATTGTGCGACTAATAATGGCGCCCCCTTTAAAGGCGGCCAATCCCCAATCCCCGCAAGGCGGCGACACATAAAAGCCAAGCGGAAAAGGAAAATTGAAACTAACCCAACCCAAGTGGAAATGGCGTGCCACTGACTACTGTCTTTGTGGGCAGAGACACGCCCACAAAATGTACATGTGTGTGTGTGTATGTGTGTGTGTGTGCTTATCGCAGCGGACGCGCCCAACTCTCGGCTGCCAAAACAGTTTGTTTATTGTTGTTTTTTAGTTGTAATTAAAACCAAGTTAATGTTTTTAAGCCCAAAGGTTAAACAGTTGCTGCCAACTACTTAAGGCTTTAAGAGAGAGAGAGAGAGGGGGTGTGTGTGTTTGTGGTATGGGGGTAGGGGGTATGGGTTGGTTGACAGCCGGGCTGACACTGGCTGCCAGGCAAGCAGCAGGCGCAACAGGGAGCAGTCACTTGCTTGGCTGCACTTTTAGCCCTTCCTCTTGCCAGTTGCCATTAGGGCAGGACATGTTCTGACAGTTGCCGCCCCTGTTGTGCGACTGGTTGTGCAACAGCCTGGCAGCCCCGCGCCGCCCCAGCTGTCGCTTATCTAATATAATTTCTAATTTATTTTTGCCACCTCCCCGCTTTTGCGTTTCCAGCTGCGCTGCGCTGCGTCCTCCTCACACAGCGGTGGTCGTCAGAAATTGCAATTGCCGTTGCGCCTGCAAGTTTTATGAATGAGTCGGCCAAGGGGCACAGGATCAGCCGCAACGTGAACAGGAGTCGCGCAACGACAACGTCCATTGGTTGCCGCACTGCCGCATCCCCATTCCCATCAAAATGGCCTTCAGCTATGCCTGCCTTGTGCTCCAGCGCGTCGTTGTGCCGGCCGTGCTCGTGTTGGGTAAGTGCATAAAATACTTTAAACTAATCACTTTTGTAGCCTTTCAGGGTGTATTCGAGGGAGAAACCATTAAATATACCTATCTCAGATCAGTATTAACAGTCACATCTATATTGTCATGTCTGTCTGTGTGTAAATTTATTTCTTTATTTTACTTAATACATTTTTATACCCTGAACCCATTAAAAATGGGTATAAGGGTATATTGTATTTGCGCAAAATCCAAATGTATGTAAGGCGGAAGCAAGCATCTCCGACCCCATAAAGTATATATATTCTTGATCAGCATCAATAGCCGAGTCGATCTAGCCATGTCCGTCTGTCTGTCTGTCCGTCCGTCCGTCTGTCCGTATGTATGAACGCAAGGATCTCAGAACCTATAAGAGCTAGAGACTTGAAATTGTAGATGTAGGTGCTCCTTGTTCCTGCGCAGATTACTCCGTTTCCAAGCAATCGATAAAAATCGATATCGATATCCTGTTTTTTGGGCAATTATAGTAAACAATGAGAACTAGAGTCACCAAACTTGACATATAGCTTCTAAAATAGAATATATATATGCATTTGATGTTGGAAGAAGAGGGTTCAGGGTATTCCCTAGTCGGGAGCTCTCGACTAGAACCTCTTACTTGTTGTAAATACAACTGTGCATAGGTCTGACGAAAATCTTTTCAAAATCGTAAGAAGATAACATAAAGCTCTCATAGAGATCATTGATTGTATTCAAATCTCGACACCGATTTCTTGGTCGAGATTCGTATATAGACATGGGTCAAAATTTACCACCCCCATATCTCGGCCAAATCTCATCAGATTTTCACGAAGTTTGGATTTTTCTTCATGGTTTTCCCTCTAGATTAATCTGGCATTCAAATCTAAACACCGATTTGTTAGACGAAATCCATGTCCAAATCTTACCCCAAAATTCGTATATAGACATGGGTCAAAATTTACCACCCCATAACTCGGTCGAATCTCATCCGATTTTCACAAAGTTTGGATTTTTCTTTATGGTTTTCCTTCTAGATTAATCTGGCATTTAAATCTCGACACCGATTTTTTGGTCGAAATTCATGTCCAAATCTTACCCCAAAATTCGTATATAGACAAGGGTCAAAATTTACCACCCCATATCTCGGCCAAATCTCATCCGATTTTCACGAAGTTTAGATTTTTCTTTATGGTTTTCCCTCTAGATTAATCTGGCATTCAAATCTCGACACCGATTTTTTGGTCGAAATTCATGTCCAAATCTTACCTCAAGATTCGTATCTAGACATGGGTCAACAATTACAACCCCCATAACTCGGTCAAATCTCATCCGATTTTCACGAAGTTAGACTTTTTCTTCATGATTTTCCCTCTAGATTAATCTGGCATTCAAATCTCGACACCGATTTTTTGGTCGAAATTCATGTCCAAATCTTACCTTAAGATTCGTATCTAGACATGGGTCAAAATTTACCACCCCCATATCTCGGCCAAATCTCATCAGATTTTCACGAAGTTTGGATTTTTCTTCATGGTTTACCCTCTAGATTAATCTGGTATTCAAATCTGAACACCGATTTTTTAGTCGAAATCCATGTCCAAATCTTACCCCAAAATTCGTATATAGACATGGGTCAAAATTTACCACCCCATATCTCGGCCAAATCTCATCCGATTTTCACGAAGTTTAGATTTTTCTTTATGGTTTTCCCTCTAGATTAATCTGGCATTCAAATCTCGACACCGATTTTTTGGTCGAAATTCATGTCCAAATCTTACCTCATGATTCGTATCTAGACATGGGTCAAAAATTACAACCCCCATAACTCGGTCAAATCTCATCCGATTTTTACGAAGTTAGACGTTTTCTTCATGGTTTTCCCTCTAGATTAATCTGGCATTCAAATCTCGACACCGATTTTTTGGTCGAAATTCATGTCCAAATCTTACCTCAAGATTCGTATTCAGACATGGGTCAAAATTTACCACCCCCATATCTCGGCCAAATCTCATCAGATTTTCACGAAGTTTGGATTTTTCTTCATGGTTTACCCTCTAGATTAATCTGGCATTCAAATCTGAACTCCGATTTTTTAGTCGAAATCCATGTCCAAATCTTACCCCAAAATTCGTATATAGAAATGGGTCAAAATTTACCACCCCATATCTCGGCCAAATCTCATCCGATTTTCACGAAGTTTAGATTTTTCTTTATGGTTTTCCCTCTAGATTAATCTGGCATTCAAATCGCGACACCGATTTTTTGGTCGAAATTCATGTCCAAATCTTACCTCAAGATTCGTACCTGGACATGGATCAAAATTTGCCACCCCCATATCTCGGCCAAATCTCATCCGATTTTCACGAAGTTTGACTTTTTCTTCATGGTTTTCCCTCTAGATTAATCTGGCATTCAAACCTCGACACCGATTTTTTGGTCGAAATTCATGTCCAAATCTTACCTCAAGATTCGTATCTAGACATGGGTCAAAAATTACAACCCCCATAACTCGGTCGAATCTCATCCGATTTTCACGAAGTTTGACTTTTTCTTCATGGTTTTCACACTAGATTAATCTGGAATTCAAATCTCGACACCGATTTTTTGGTCGAAATTCATGTCCAAATCTTACCTCAAGATTCGTATCTAGACATGGGTCAAAATTTACCACCCCCATATCTCGGCCAAATCTCATCAGATTTTCACGAAGTTTGGATTTTTCTTCATGGTTTTCCCTCTAGATTAATCTGGCATTCAAATCTAAACACCGATTTTTTAGTCGAAATCCATGTTCAAATCTTACCCCAAAATTCGTATATAGACATGGGTCAAAATTTACCACCCCATAACTCGGTCGAATCTCATCAGATTTTCACGAAGTTTGGATTTTTCTTCATGGTTTACCTTCTAGATTAATCTGGCATTCAAATCTGAACACCGATTTTTTAGTCGAAATCCATGTCCAAATCTTACCCCAAAATTCGTATATAGACAAGGGTCAAAATTTACCACCCCCATATCTCGGCCAAATGTCATCCGATTTTCACGAAGTTTGACTTTTTCTTCATGGTTTTCCCACTAGATTAATCTGGAATTCAAATCTCGACACCGATTTTTTGGTCGAAATTCATGTCCAAATCTTACCTCAAGATTCGTACCTGGACATGGATCAAAATTTGCCACCCCCATATCTCGGCCAAATCTCATCCGATTTTCACGAAGTTTGACTTTTTCTTCATGGTTTTCCCACTAGATTAAATTGGAATTCAAATCTCGACACCGATTTTTTGGTCCAAATTCATGTCCAAATCTTACCTCAAGATTCGTATATAGACATGGGTCAAAAATTACAACCCCCATAACTCGGTCAAATCTCATCAGATTTTCACGAAGTTTGAATTTTTCTTTATGGGTTTCCCTCTAGATTAATCTGGCATTCAAATCTCGACACCGATTTTTTGGTCGAAATTCATGTCCAAATCTTACCTCAAGATTCGTATCTAGACATGGGTCAAAATTTACCACCCCATAACTCGGTCGAATCTCATCCGATTTTCACGAAGTTTCGATTTTTCTTCATGGTTTTCCCTCTAGATTAATCTGGCATTCAAATCTAAACACCGATTTTTTAGTCGAAATCCATGTCCAAATCTTACCCCAAAATTCGTATATAGACATGGGTCAAAAATTACAACCCCCATAACTCGGTCAAATCTCATCCGATTTTCACGAAGTTTGACTTTTTCTTCATGGTTTTCCCACTAGATTAATCTGGAATTCAAATCTCGACACCGATTTTTTGGTCCAAATTCATGTCCAAATCTTACCCCAAGATTCGTATATAGACATGGGTCAAAAATTACAACCCCCCTAACTCGGTCAAATCTCATCCGATTTCACGAAGTTTGGATTTTTCTTTATGGTTTTCCCTCTAGATTAATCTGGCATTCAAATCTCGACACCGATTTTTTGGTCGAAATTCATGTCCAAATCTTACCTCAAGATTCGTATCTAGACATGGGTCAAAATTTACCACCCCCATATCTCGGCCAAATCTCATCAGATTTTCACGAAGTTTGGATTTTTCTTTATGGTTTTCCCTTTAGATTAATCTGGCATTCAAATCTGAACACCGATTTTTTAGTCGAAATCCATGTCCAAATCTTACCCCAAAATTCGTATATAGACATGGGTCAAAATTTACCACCCCATAACTCGGCCAAATCTCATCCGATTTTTACGAAGTTTAGATTTTTCTTTATGGTTTTCCCTCTAAATTAATCTGGCATTCAAATCTCGACACCGATTTTTTGGTCGAAATTCATGTCCAAATCTTACCCCAAAATTCGTATATAGACATGGGTCAAAATTTACCACCGCCATAACTCGGTCAAATCTCATCCGATTTTCACGAAGTTTGACTTTTTCTTCATGGTTTTCCCACTAGATTAATCTGGAATTCAAATCTCGACACCGATTTTTTGGTCCAAATTCATGTCCAAATCTTACCCCAAGATTCGTATATAGACATGGGTCAAAAATTACAACCCCCCTAACTCGGTCAAATCTCATCCGATTTCACGAAGTTTGGATTTTTCTTTATGGTTTTCCCTCTAGATTAATCTGGCATTCAAATCTCGACACCGATTTTTTGGTCGAAATTCATGTCCAAATCTTACCTCAAGATTCGTATCTAGACATGGGTCAAAATTTACCACCCCCATATCTCGGCCAAATCTCATCAGATTTTCACGAAGTTTGGATTTTTCTTTATGGTTTTCCCTCTAGATTAATCTGGCATTCAAATCTGAACACCGATTTTTTAGTCGAAATCCATGTCCAAATCTTACCCCAAAATTCGTATATAGACATGGGTCAAAATTTACCACCCCATATCTCGGCCAAATCTCATCCGATTTTCACGAAGTTTGGATTTTTTTTTATGGTTTTCCCTCTAGATTAATCTGGCATTCAAATCTCGACACCGATTTTTTGGTCGAAATTCATG